ACGACACGGCATGCCGGACTAAAAGTCCGGGGACCATCCGTGCAATTATCCCCGATCCCGGGGGGCTCCGGGGGCAAAAAGGTCGCCAAATTTCGGGGGTGGGGCCCCCGTTTCTCGAAACTTTGAGAAGTGAAATCGGCACGTGTCGCTGTCCGATGAAAGGTTGGGGGGTGGGGCCGGGGGGGGGCGCGTGGGGGTGGGTCCCAGGAGGAGCGATGACATCTCGCTAACATCCCCCCTCCCTCCCCTCTCCTCCACCCCCACTAACTCTTGTCGTTTTGCCTGTCACGGTCGCCCACGCACACATATCCCCGCTCCTCCTCCTCTTCTTCTTCGACAGCTTGCTTGCTTACCTGCCCCTCTCTCTCTCTCTCTCTCTCTCTCTCTCTCTCTATTGCCTAATTTCAATTTCACGCCCCCTCTTCAAAAAAACCCCCCAAGAGAGAAAATTTTTCTTCCCTTTCCTAAAATTTGAGGAAAAAAAAAAAGGAGGAAAAAAATTGACCGCCGAGAATACATTATTAGGCTCGTTTTGCTAATTGAAATGAGTAGTTAGAGCACGGGGCGCAGAGACCGCGCGAGCCGCCGTCGAAAGAGCGGGACGGTGTGGCGGCGGCGGCGGCGGCGTCGGCGGAAAATCTTGTGACCTTCGAGGTCATTGTCTTGTGAGAACAATCGGGGGGGTGAAATGAGCAGTTAGAGAGTGATTATCTACTGCTGTTCAAGGGGGGTGCAAAAGCCACCTTTTTTTTTGGGGGGGGGGATGAATTTGTGATTGCCGCCGACGAGTTTGGAGGCGCCGCGATCGTAATTCACGATGGCGTCGAAGCGGCGGCGCGGAGGGGGAGGGGAGAAGTGCGATTCCCCCCCGACCGATCGGAGACGAAATCGCGGCTTCCAAAGGGACCGGTTCGGAAATGCAATTTCCGGGAAAGTAAAGTGCAAAAAGTATTTTTGACCCAAAAAGAAAAAGACGAAAAAAGCGCAAAAGGGTATGATATCGCGGTAGTTTCGAGCGTGGAAATGCGAATTTCTTGAAACCTCGAGGTCCAAAATGGGGATTTCCTAAAAGCAGGGGGGGGCGGGGGGAGGGGGGGTGGTAAGAAATGAGAACGTCGTGTGCTCGTCCGTCGTGCTCAATTCGTGCGACTTGTGCATGCATGTGATGCAAGCAAAAAAGTAAATCACATGAACTAGGGCCGCTAGGCCTACTCTATGCTCGGTCTGAATACCCCGCGGGACTTTGAGTAAAAGGCGTGTCGGCCGCCTCGTACCTTAACCCGACCCCGAGCCCGGGTGAATTCGACGCGCCGGAGCGCTCCGAACCCAGCGTCGGCCCGACACCAGTCGGACCCACGGAAAAACGGGGTAACGGCGCGAGGCGAACACCGGGCGGCTTGCTTAGATACGAAATAATTCGTGCTCGATAGTGCAGAGAATCGAACACGCACGTGCCCTGCATCGTCGGATCGGTATTATAAATTCGTTCTCATCTACCGGATCGAATCCGGTCGTTTTTTCGCAATACAAATTTTTTTTGTTCTTTTATGAGTAAATTTCGCAAATGCGCGTTCTTTATTATTTTGCGTCGACGATTAAAAAATTATATACATATAAATTATTATGTTTTTTGGGGTCAGATATATACATTATAAAGAAATTTAACAATATGCTTTTTTTTTTTAATACGTGATAAAATAATGCCACCGGGTTCTGGAATCGCGCCGAGCTCGGGTCCAAAAGTCAAGCTCCTCGCCCCGAGTTTTCAAACCTCGCCGTCGTGGCCCCCCGATTAATCGCGCCGACTGCGACCCGCGATGGCGATGATTCGCTGACGCTCGTCGCGATCTCCCCTCCCCACCCCCCCCCGGGCTCGAGCCGAGCCGAGCCGTTTAAGCCGAGCCGCGCCGTTGTTAAGGTGCTTCGGACTTCGGAGTATGCTAAATTGGAAAATCCCACATTTCATGTTTGTCCAAAACTCGAGACTATTAATCACGTTTAATTGCAAATCCCTATAGTTCCACCCCCACCTTCCACGCGCAATTCTTTTTTTTTTTTTGTAAAGCCGTCGTCACGGGATATTTTCAATAAATTTTTTCGGCTACAGACGGGTCATTAACATCGATATAAGATGATTTGCCGAGCACATGGATTTTTTGCCGTCACGTTTCATGTTGCCGCGTCACCTGCGGGCAGAACTCGAGGCCTCACGTTTCTCGAGATTACCGATGTTCAGTTACTCGACCGATCTCGTGATTTTAATTGGACCGGGCGTATAGTTTCAAGTTATTGCGAATGTGATGTCGACTTCACAATGTACGTACATGTATAAGTGGTCTTAAAGGTTTTTTTTGCCACTTAAATATTTTCTTTACTTATTTGAAATTTTAATTTCATGTCAAATCAAGCACCCTAAAATAATTAACAGCGTATCGCTAGTAGTATCTTAACAGAAGGTTGTTTTTTTTCTTTTGGGGTAATTTTTCTTCAGAATTGATATGAATTCCAAATTTCAACAAGCATTTTAAAGGTGAATATTTTGGAAGATTAAACGCCCAACCAAACATGCACTCAATATTCAGGTTTTGGTTTTGTAGCTCCTACATGAATAATAAGTAGCTGAGCCTCTTCGTGGATATATGCTAAGTTTGTCGAGATTGTTTTTATGAAATTCAATTCGATACTTAACTAAATTGGTACTTTTCTATTGAGTGTCCGCTTGTAACTTACTACCTTACTTAGGAATTAAATTTATAAACTAATCTCGACATACCTCATTGAGAGTAAAAGCTAGATAATTTTTTTTTTATCTATTTTCGATTTTCTCTATGCTTGGTTGAACGAAGTTCCCTTATTCTAGTTCATGAATTATAAATAGGGACGTTACTTATATTCATATAAGTTTTGGGTACAGTAGTAAGGTGGTGTATGGATCGGCTTCCACGTACTTCGACTAGTCCACTTCCCCAAACTATCTTAAGAATGTATTTATATTTGTATTTAGTTTGATTTGCATGTGGCGATGTCTGAACTTGAAACCTACTAATAAGAAATCCGATTGAATGAAGATTTGTCCAACAACAATTTAGGGAAAATATAGTTTACTCTGAGGGGATATTACACAAAACTCCCCTGAACTTTGGAGGTAGTACATGTTTGCCCTTTAATCATCTGAACATCATTTTATTAGGGTCGTTAGCCTTTCGTTATATTTTCCATTAGCATGCGCAATGCACGTAACCTTAGTTTTCTCTCCTGTTTTCCAATCTGATTTTTTACAATAATTAAGGTAAAAGAGACTTTTCCTTTGACAAATGAGATGAAAATATAGATTTACAATTTGGTTCCTTAAAAAGTCATGTACGTTGAACATGCTAAAGGAAAAAAAAAAGAAAAGGAAAATGACATAAATGATCTCTGAACTTTGGCCCAATATGCAATATGGTCCCTAAACTTTTAATTTATTCAATGTAGTTCATAGACTTTAGCCTAACGTATAATGTGGTCCATGAACTTTTAATTTGTTCAATGTAATCATTGTACTTTAAGTACATGTCAATTTAGTCCATTGATTATATGAAAATGTTTAGTGTTGTCGTTGATGTTAAATTAATGGAAATACTACATTAAATATTTTCATATAGTTTGAGGGACTACATTGAACATGTACTGAAAGTCTAGGGACTATATTGAACATTTGGCTAAAATTCAGGGACTACATTGGACAAATTAAAATTTTATGGATTACATTACACATTGGGCCAAAGTTCAAGGACAATTTGTGTCATTGTCCCCGGAAAAAAAAATGATGCAGGGGCTGTACCAAAATTAAAATTTATCAGGTATTATGAGATAGTCAAAATTTCGAAAAGTGTACTACTATCTGTTTCGCGAAAAAATGAATGATTTGGAAAATATTTTTGTAAATGATTTTTTATATTTCTTACAAAAATGAATAAAAGAAACATACTTTTATCGTGTATGAAAATATTCAGACATAAATTATTATCTATAATAAAAATATTTTTCATTGATTAATTATTTCAAACGATACGAACGATCAATTTAAAAAAAATATTTTTTAAATTATTTATTTTCTACGAAATAAATAGAGACGGAATTTTATTTATTTTTTCCCCGATTTTGATAAGATCGACCACGGATCTTCTTATCACTCCAAAAAATATCTCCCCCCAGGGCCACCGGCACGACCGGCTATACCCGGTTGGCAAGGGAGCTGCATTTGGGTTGAATTTTGGGCGCATTTCATTTGGCTCAGGATGCGCTTAACCCCAGTCAGATTCTAACCCCAGGGCCTGACCCAGGGCTGGTTTATTTAAAGAGAGAGAAAGTGCGTGACCACCAGCTGGGCAGTGAAATCGCTCCTCTCATCCTTCCAATCCCTCACCACTCCCAAACACCGGTCCCCTGTGCTTCCTCTCTCCTCTTCCCACCATTATTACAGAAGGTGCAGCCCATGACCGTGCAGTGTTAGTGTTGAAAAACTTGATCCACAATTGATTGGGCAATGATGATGTAGTGAGAGAGGGAGAGCATCAAATCAGTGCAAGCCATTGGTTGGTGAATTGGTGATTTGGTGACTTGCTCTTCTGGGTTGGGTTGGTCTTTTGCTTGTAGTGTCTGTTCTTGTCCCTGTGCATGAATTTTCTTGGGCCGTGCTCATGCAGTCTCCTCCTCCATCTTCTTCGTTTTCGTCGTCGTCACCACCACCATCATCATCTTTGGCTTTGATGGGTTCACGGGGAGGAGCGTTTGGGGAGAGGGCGAGAGACGGGGGAGAGAAGAGGAGAGAGAAGTGGCTGTGCATTCGTGTGCAGAACTGCACGAGCTGGTCTTGCTTCATACACGGGCGCTCTGCTTCCATGGCTGCTTTTAAATAGGACCCAAAAGGAAAAACCTCGCTTCTATAAAAAAAACTCTCCACTCGAGCGTCATGAACTTGCACTGAAAGTGCCAAACCAGGAAGGAAGGAAGGAGGGAAGAAAGAAACCCCCCTCCCTAGAGAACACGAAAAGAGTAAAAGTAAAAGAGCAAGCTTGATCTTACCTGTGATCTAATTATATATAAGAACTCTCTCTCTCTCTCTCTCTGTTTGAGAGAAGTCACAGTCCCCACTTTTTCCAGACATGAAGAGACTTGGCAGCTCAGATTCCTCGGGTGCTCTGATGTCCATCTGCCCACCTTCAGGTTCAACTTCTTAAATTAGATTAAAACCCATTCTTTTTGTTTGGGGGAACTTCCCTTTCTTTTCACAAGATTCACGGGCACTAGCAATGCTAGTTTTTGCATAAAGTGATAGACCCATGTGACACATGCTCTTCTGGTCCTCCTCATACATCTTTCCAACTGCATCGATCTCGTGTGGAATATGAATTATTCCACCCCCATGTTCACAAAAAGCCAGAGAATTTCTTTTCTTCTTTTTTTTCCTCATCTTTTCAGGCAAAAGAACAAAACACAAGAAGGAGCAAAAAGAAAAAAAGACCAGTTTTGATTCAATTTCAGGAACTTCACGCCCCCTTCTTTTCTGGGTTTTCAATCTCAGCCCAACTCACAAACCTTTTCCGCTTATTCACTTGATTTGAACTGATTCGGAGGAACTACAGCACAGCCCCCAAAAACCAGCATTTTCTCCCTGCTTTCCTGAAACAGTTGCGATCCAATTTCGACCTACTCGCCAATTCATTTGTGGGTTTCAATCTTGAGCCTAAACCCGCCAATCTTTTCTGTGTTTTATCTCGATGCAGAGGAATTGCAACACAGTCCAAGAAACGGCAACCCCATCTACAACGGCAGGGACCTGCAGTCCATGTTGGAGCTGGGCCTCGACGAGGAAGGCTGCGTGGAGGACCATTCCGCCGGGCACACCGCCGGCGAGAAGAAGAGGAGGCTGAGCATCGACCAGGTCAAGGCCCTGGAGAAGAACTTCGAGGTCGAGAACAAGCTCGAGCCGGAGCGGAAGGCGAAGCTGGCCCAGGAGCTGGGGCTGCAGCCGCGGCAGGTGGCCGTGTGGTTCCAGAACCGCCGCGCGCGGTGGAAGACGAAGCAGCTGGAGAGGGACTACGGCGTGCTCAAGGCCAACTTCGATGCCCTCATGCTCAACTTCGACGCTCTGAAGCACGACAACGACGCCCTTCGCAAGGAGGTAAAAAACAAAGCACTGATTAACACTGTGCATGGGTCAATGCGAACGATGCGATGACGTCATAATTGGGGTTATGGTCGTAGATCAGTGAAATTATTTATCATGGTACGGTGAATTGTCATCACCCGGATTAAAGTAAACAACATTGGATGATGAAAAGTACTTCAGGAACATGGATTTTGATGTAGGCCCTCTTTAATTATACGAATAAAGTGAAACATATCGCGATTCGCGAAGTAATACGGTACCCAAAGTAAAGTCCGAACGATATGTGCTAGGTCTTGATAAATGTCGTGACGCCTTTAGAGCGATGTCTCTAGCAATTGTATTCGTGTAATTTCCGCAATTGATTTGAAGTGTAGTTCCGAAACTAAGCAATTGGACTCCATACGTATATTACCCGAAACCACAAAATCTTTCTTACCAATTCGTAAATTGAACTTTGCCGCAGATACAGGAACTGAAATCGAAACTCCGCGAAGAAGACAAACCCGAGAGCAACCTTTCCGTCAAAGAAGAGGTCATAATGCCCGGCCAGGACTCCGACAAGATCCGGGCCCCGGATGACGGGGACGAAGCCAAGGCCTCTCCTCCCCCTCCGATTGCTGCCCCGCCTTGCGAGCTGAGCTTCAACAACGGCGGGCTCAAGGACGGGTCGTCTGACAGCGACTCGAGCGCTATCGTGAACGAAGAAAACGCCGCGACCAGCAGCAGCAGCCCGAACCCCGCCGTCCAGAGCCACGGCGGCTTCTTGAAATTCATCGGGTCGTCATCCTCCTCGGCCTCCCCGCCGCCGCAGCCGTCTTCCTTCAGCGGGTGCTTCGGCTTCCAGTTCCAGAGAGTGTACCAGCCTCAGCCTCAGCCTCCTCACCACCACCACCACCACCACCACCAGAGTCAGTACGTGAAGATGGAGGAGCACAATTTCCTCGGCGGCGAGGAGGACTGCAACTACTTCTCCGACGAGCAGGCTCCGACGCTGCAATGGTATTGCCCCGATCAGTGGAACTGATGGATCCGAACCTTCCTTCGGTCGACGGAACTGCAGATTAGAGAGAGAGAGAGAGAGACAGATGGAGGGCGAAAAAAACAGAGGGAATCCCTAGCGTTGCGTGCTTGGGAAGCGATACGAATTTTCGGGTACATGATCGCGTGAATCACTTCGACCTCGCACGACATGATACGATACGACGAGAGTAAGATCGAGAGAGGGGGTTCGGGTGCGGACCGGGAATTCAAGTAGTATGCGGTTCCTTATTGCAGGGTGGCATTCCAAGTTATAGGATGCAATTGAGATTGAATATGATGATGCGATTTGCTAATGTTTTTGTTCGCTCTTGCGACGGATCGTGAGAACTAAAGCATGGACAGGCCGGGTCACATGAAATTTCTAAACCTTAAGACAATATCAAGACGTGATCAATTATATTCCTGATCAACCAATAGGCAGCAAATCTGACCAAAAAAGAGAAACGAAATTGGGAAGCAACGATTGGCTTATCATAACGCGAGTTGCCAGTGTCGACTAGTCAAAATTCGGTGATTAGAGGTAGGGAAAGCTATTCGTAACAAATGCCTTGTGGACCCTTGACAACAATCCACAGCGATAGCAATTAGGGTTGTTGACAAATGGGACAAGGCGAGAATGCGGTTCTCGAGAGGCATTTGGGTTAAAAGCCCACTTGAGATAATGCCCATTTTGACTTAGCCTATATCTATCGAGTTTCATTGTTTTATCTTTTGATGTATAGGTATAAACACTTTCTCAAGAGGTCATTTATCTTGGTATTGCTATCACCTAAGCATGCTTGATATCAAAATTCGAATGCTAAATGATGTTGTTACGTCAAAATGCACCTCTTGTAGTTAATTGCTAAATCACATATATAATTATGTAGTGCTCTCTCCTTATTCAGCATGTAATTTGGTACAATCTTGACCCCTTCGCCGTTGTAAAAGTCTGCCGTGAGCTTCTCCTTATCCGAGCTTGTTCGCCTCGATGTTCACTCTCTGCCTTCGTCGATCGGACTCAGTTGTTACAAGCCCACCAGCTTTCGTGTGATTTGTTCCCCAATCACACAGCTACTAGAGGATATCCCGCTCTGAAGTAACACTTTTGGATTAACTTATTTGAGGTATTGTTCGTTTTGATCTATCGTGTACGAAACCTCACAGTTTTGTCATTTGGCATACAATTGGGCACTTTCCTCATGAGGTCACCTATTATAGTAGTGCTCTTACATAAGAACACTTGTCATCGAAGTCCCAATACCAAACTTAATCGTCACGCTAAGATGCTTATCTTGTGAGCTAATTATAGTTTTACATATATTATCTAGGAACGCTTTCCCTTTGTTCGGTGCACAATTTAGTTCGTTCTTGGCCCCTTCGCCATCCTAGAAGTTTGCCAAGAGTTGCTCCTTGTTTAGGCCTATTCGCCCTGACAATCACTCCCCACCATCTTTGAACCGGGTCGTTACAGGGGTAAATCCCTTACCTTTGTCTCAAAAGACATAGGGATGCCCTATCTCCTTAGCTTGTTATAGATGGAGCAAGTTTCTCTAACTTTATCTCCATTGTCGGTCCCTTCAAGTATGTGGATTTTTCTACTCAACTTGCACCGCTCCACATTAAACAAATGATATAAAAATCAAGCTATTGAAGTTTACTACATAACCTATTGGGCAAGTGGCGCAGTGATAAAGGGAATTGGGTGACGTGAAGACGTTTAGTTTCAGGTGTGAGGTCCGACACCTCACGCTCCGTAAAGAGGCGGAGTGAGAGTCCGAGAGAGAGAGAAGAGGATTAGAGTAGGACAGACAAAATAAAAAAGGTTTACGACAGAAAGTCTTCGTAATCAAATTAAGGAAAGAAGAGCGAAAAAATTTGGCTCTAACTAAAAGAGTTTTAATGCGTGAAAGAAGAATAGAGGAAAAGGGTAGTTTATACAAGGAAGAAACTGCAATTCATGAATAAAAGTTGAAAGGTAGGGGCAAGGCTGAGCCTATGCGGCAAGGGCAGCCATTTCCACTCCTTCCCAAGCTCCTCGAGCGAGGAGATGAGAATTTGCTCCATCCCTTATCGGACATAAGTAACTGGTCAATTTGTATTTGGATACGTACCCGTCTATGCATATTGGTATAAAGTAGACATACAATACGATTGTCGTTTCTGTATTGGTACGGATTATTTGGGTTGTTTCAATGTAAATGAGTGCAAACACTAGTCGACTCGAAAATGCACGAAATGTTTACGCTCTTTGCTGCTAGCTTTTTTCTTGAAGCAAGCATGTTGCACGCATGTACTTCGATTCGTGGGACGGGATAAAAAATATTCGCGACGCTCTAACTTGAACGATAAATTTTGTATATCAAATTTCATAAATGACGACGTACAATTAACGAAAATTTCTCCAAACACCAAGAGATTAATTAACTAACCGCAAGAGTCATTGTGGGTGACTTTTATTCGAGGCAACTATAATCGTTTTTAACTATTACTTGATTTCATTCCAACTTATGCAACTTATTCTTTACTATGGAAAGCGCTCGGTGAAGTATGGTCTGGCGTCTTAGACGGTATGAGATGGGTAGCGGTTAATGGGAGAACAGTTAAATTCTGAATTGATAACTAGGTTGATGAAGTTGGTCCCCTGGTCAATTGGATTTTGCCGTTTGCTACAATTCCAAATCTTGCCTCGTTCTTGATTTTGTTTGTAACAATCAATTGAGTCTCACAAGTCCAGCAGGTGTCCTGCCTCAGTCAATTTTGATGCAAATTCAATCCATGCTCCCACCCACCTTCAGGCTGTGGTGGTGGTGATTTGCTAGCTAGTTTGGGGTAGCAATAACAGTGGTTCATTCACTGTTAAAGAAGCTTACGAATTGATTTCACCAAGACATCATTTACCTACAGATAAGCTCTGGAGTTTAGTGTGGAAATGGGAAGGACCATAAAGGATTAGAAGTTTCTTGTGGCTGGTTTCTCACCGTGCCAACTTACTAATTACGAGAGATTCCAACATAAAATCACTGCGGATTCCTTTTTCACTTCTTGTCCGCAGTCGTCTGAAACAATTTTTCACGTGCTTAGAGATTGTAAGTATGTAAAGGCCGTTTGGCTAAAGATTTTGCCAGCAAGCTTAAGAGGCGAATGTTTTGCTCGTGATCTACACAAGTGGTTGTTGGCAAACCTATTTACTTCAACAAATCTGGTAAAAGAAGCGAACTTGCCACTAGTTTTTGGTGTAACTTGTTAGCATTTTTGAAATTGGAGAAACAAGAGATTATTTCAGACAGATTTTTCTCTTCCTGGGGCACCTATGGGCCTGATTTTGAGATATGGTAAGGACATCATTTTGGCTCGTATAACTGAGAACAGATTGTCTTATCAGAGGAAGAAACAAGATATGTTCGTAGGTTGGACCGTCTCTCCTATACCGACGAGGCCTCTAAAGGCAACTTGGTCGCTTCAATAGGTGGTCTTATTCGTAATAAATCAGGCAATTGGCTTGCTGAGTTCGCACAAAATGCAAGAGTGTGTTCTTCGTTCAAAGTAGAACTTTGGGCACAAAATGACCATCTCATCAGACATTCGTAAACTTACTGTGGAGGTGGACTCATAAACGGCTATTTCCCTTCTTTAGAAGTGAACTCCCTCTCTCAATTTTGGTGATATTCTCATTTCTCAGATTAGGAAATTGTCAAAGTATTTCCGATAGGTCAAAATCGTAGATACTTTTAGGGAAGGAAATTCATGTGCAGATTGATTATCAAATTGGATGCTTCAATCTATGATCTAAATGACCCTTTAGCATTAGATAGGCCACCTAGAGGTTCACTTTCTTTGTTGATAGGAGATCAGACATGATCAAGTTTTTTTTTTTTTTTGGGTAAGGAGACATGATCAAGTTTTATAAGGAGAGAAACAAAAAAAAATATAATAATGATTGACGTATGAACTTAATGGAATTAAAATTTGAGACTGGCTTGGTTTGTTTCGCGGAAAATGTAATATTCCTGGAAAATGGTTTCTAGGAAATTGAAAATATATTTTGGTATTTGGCTGAAACCTGAAAATAAGGCTGTGTTCGTTTCCGGAAAAATATTCTCCCGGAAAATATTTTCCGGATTTTCCGATGTTCGGGGCGGAAAACGTTTTCCGTGGAAAACATTTTCCTTCCCCTTCACAAAATAGCTTTTTTCCTATGGAAAATGACTTCCGCTTCTTCAAAAGCGGAAATCATTTTCCGTAGCATTCTGCTTCTTCTTCTTCACTATTTTTTTCATTTTTTCTTTCTTCTCTTTCCTCAATTCACCGTGGCACGGCCGGCCGTGGCGAGGCCCGAGCTTTCCGGCCTGGGGACGACCTCGGCCTCGCCGCCGTCGCGGCGTCGGGCGAGTCTCAAGCCTCGCCCAGTCGACAGATCCGGATGAGGCCGAGCTCGCCCGAGGTCGGCGAGCTCCAACCTCACAGATCCACGACTCGGGCGAGACTCGAGGTCGCCGGATCTGATGCTTTGATTGTTTTGTTTTCGATGTTCTTTGTTTGTGGGTTCTTCTTCTTCTTGTTCGTGGGCGAGGCTCCTCGGCTGCTTGATCGCCCGGCGCGACTTGGGCCTCGCTAGATCCGGCGACCTCGAGCCTTGCCCGAGGTCGCCGACATTAGCGAGGCTCCGGCGACCTCGGGTGAGGCTCGAGCCTCGCCCAGTCGCCGGATCGGCGAGGCGGCTCGCCGCGGCCTCGGCGGATCAAGCGAGGCGGAGCCTCGCCACAAGCCGGCGAGGCTCGACGTCGCCGGAATTTGGCGAGCTCGAGCCTCACCGGCTGGGGCGATGCTCGAGCTCGCCTCCGGCCGGCCGCGCCGCACCGGTTGCCGGCGACCTACGGAGAAGAAGCAAAAGAAAAAGAAAAAGAAAAGAAAATATTAAAAATATTAAAAGTATTGCAAGAAGCAAAATCATTTCTATACCGAACAACGGAAAATATTTTCCGAGACTTTTTGATTTTAGCCGAACACCGTAAAATTGTGTTCCAGGAAAATATTTTTCAGGAAAATGACTTCCGGAAAATATTTTCCAAAAGGAGAATATTTTCCGCCAAACGAACTGAGCCTAAATTGAAAAATATTTTCCATCGTTTACTATGGAAAATCTGATTTGATTTTTCTTAATATGCATACACTATTCGAACGCTAGTAACTTGCGCATGGACAATCAGGAACCGAGTACGGGCACTAGAGTCCTAGATCCGGCCTCGATGGAGCCTCGATGTACCTTGACCTGGGCACCGAGATCGAGGCATGGGCACTTGAGTCTCGGGCTTGGCCTCAATGGACCCGAGCGAGGGAACTGAGGTTCCGGGCCTGGCCTCGATGGACCCGGGCACGACCTTTGTGGACCTAGGCACAACCTTTATGGATCCGAGGCCGGGTGTTGAGGATCCGAGCTTGGGTATCGAGAGCTCGCACTCGGCCTTTGTGGACCTGGGCCTTAGTGCAAGGATAGGCATAAGCATTGGGGGCTCGGGCCTAGCCTCGATGAACCCGGCCGCGGGACCCAAGCACGGGCACTAAGGTCTCGGGCTCGGCCTCAATGGACCCGAGCATGGGCGCTGGGGATTCAGGCGCGGACACCAGGGTCACAGGCCTTAATGGACCCAAGTCCAGGCGCAGGAGACCTGGTCTTGGACATCGGGGACCCAAAAACCAGCATTGGAGTTTTCGTACCTAAGCGTAATGTTTCGGGTTCAAACGCTAGTTATATTTTAGAGAACGATTTTTGATTTTTTTTTTAAAATAAATTATTTTCCCGAAGTATAGGTAGAAAAACATTTTCCGTTGACTTATTTTTCCTAAGCGAACTGAATGCTTGAAAATGAGGAAAATGCTTTTCCAGAAAATGTTGTCTGTAAAACAAACGGAGCCCGAAGAAAATTCAAAATTTCTCCATCAACAATCCTAGGATAAAACAATAAGGGTTAATACCACCAAAAACCCAAAACTGGTACGCGTGTGACAATTTTATCCTGAACTTTTTTTTTTACCATCAAAAACCCCAAATTGGTACACCTGTGACAATTTTATCCCAAACTTTTTTTTTACCATAAAAAACTCCAAATTAGTATTCCAAACTGGTAAACCCGTGACAAATTTACCCTAAACTATTTTTTTGATCACGAAAAATCCCAAACTGGTACACCTGTGACAATTTTACCCTGAACTAATAAATTTTTAATATTATTTTTTATTTTTTCGATTTTTTATTATTTTTTCTTTTCTTTTTTTTTCTTCATCTTCAATCTCTTGCCGGTTGCTGGACCAGCGACTAGCCAGAGGCGGAAGCCGGCGAGGTCGGCCCTGACGGCCGTTGGCGAGGCTCGACCTCGCTGGCGCGGGCTAGGGCTGCCCTCGCCCGACTCAGGTGAGGGATGCCCTCGCTTGAGTCGGGCGAGGGCTGTCCTCGCCCGCCCAGGCGAGGTCGGTCCTCGCCCGACGCCGGCGAGTTTTCCGTTGACTTATTTTTCCTAAGCGAGCTGAATGCCTGAAAATGAGGAAAATGCTTTTCCAGAAAATGTCGTCCGCAATACAAATGGAGCTCGAAGAAAATTCAAAATTTCTCTATCAACAATCCTAGGATAAAACAATAAAGAAAAACCGTAATTCCAAGCCAACCATTAGTTCTCATCTATGCGACCCACTTGTTCATCATTTCCGATGACGTTCGAGTTTTCAGGGGACAACCGACCTCACTTCCGTACTATTTATTATCCGATTTATTCGTCTGACCAAAAAAAAAATGTTATTCGATTTATTCGGATAATTTTAAGAATTACGAAACCGAGAAAACAAAGAAATAATTATCCGACCGGCGATTTTCAGTTTTCACGACCATCCGCTCGCCATCGCTCGTTTCGTAGGGGAGGTGATGATGGCGTCACTCGGTCTTCGCCACCCTTCTTCCTCCGCGTTCGCGAGCTCGCAGTATGCTCTCTATCTCTCTCTCTATCTCTCTCTCTCTCTCTCTGACGTGCCTGTGAACCAGAGTGCAAGGGTGCGGTGATTAAAGAATTCGCTTGCGTTGGCATGTAGTGCTCGCCTGTTTCGTTATTTAATGCGACCCGCAATCGTGTCTGTCCTTCGCTCTCGAAGCGGCGCCGTTCGTTACTCGCGTTGGGATTTCCCAGATGAAGGGTTGTCGCCGATACCTATGAAAGTTCTGAAAGTTCTGGGATTGAAGCGTTCGGTTCTGTGAATTTTTGTGTGGTGGGTGATGACAACTGGGTGGAGTGTTGAGATCTGGGATCAGCTGGTTCCTGGTTTCTAGGTATTGTGAACAATTCGGCTGGAAATGGGTGGCTCTTGGCTTGGTGTTTCGCTTCTCTTGTAAATTTGAATGGGGGGCTGATCCAAAAGGAGAAGAAGAGACGATTATGCCAATAATTTGTGCTGAACTTTGGCTTTTGTGGTGACCAACGATTTGTCTTTGCGGTTCATTTCGGGCATGGCTAACTAGGAGTGATTTCTAATCGCGCTTATATAAAAGGGTATTGTTTTAACTAATGTCCAGAGCACTGGATTTCCAAAGCACCGAATACGGATGATCTGAGAAAAAGCATCGTATTGAAAACTGCAAACTTTCTTCTTTTGTTCCTTAAAAAGTGCCATGGATATTATAAGCTTTGCGACTCGCGATAAATAAAAGAGAACGTCTTACGATGCTGTGTTTATTTTGACTTGTAATCTAAGTTGTTTTCGATAAGTTAATGTATAATTTTGGGAATTCAATTTCAATGTGTCAGTAGTTTTGATATTCCAAGCAAATTTTATGATGAATGAGGAAGGATGGCTAATTCTTTCTTTGTTCCATACAACAAAGTTGTAAGCATGGAGTGAGTACTTCCACATCATACCTCTCCAAATCCGGTGTGTTCTTCAGGATTCCGAGCAAACCCTGTAGATTAAGGGCTATCAGAAAAGCGACATTTGCAGTACTTTCTGGGGAGGATGATCTCTTACCCCATTCCTATAACAATGGGGCGGCCTCAGGGCAAAATTTTATATTAGATGGCCAAGCACAGCCCAAAAGAGTTCATGTTCACTCCAACGGTCTAGCGTTTGGGACGCTTGCTGCTGAAATAACACCTACCACTCAAGGTTTTTTTCCTAATGAAGATGTGTATGACCTTGATGTACCTTCCGAAGGATTTTCTTCAATTCCGGAGGCAATTGAAGATGTTCGTCAAGGCAAGGTTGGAGCTTCCTTGCCAATTAACTCGTTTGTCATTGATCTGCCCAATCAAAATTCTTCTCCTCATCTGTTATTTGGAGATGGGAATGGGATTAGGATATTAAATTCTGTGTGTTCTTGCAGTTTGTTGTTGTAGTAGATGATGAAGACAGAGAAAATGAGGGAGATTTAATAATGGCAGCATCTTTGGTAACACCGGAAGCTATGGCGTTTATAGTCAAGCATGGTACTGGAATTGTATGTGTGAGCATGAGAGAAGAAGACTTGGAGAGGCTGCAACTTCCCCTCATGGTGACCCACAAGGAGAATGAGGAAAAGCTTTGCACAGCTTTTACTGTTTCGGTGGTATGGATTTTCTTGAATGTTAGATCGATCCTATTACCATTTTAATTATTTCTCTGGAAATTTTTATAATGGGCTTTTACCTAGACAGATAGTCTGACATCAAATTGTCTTTTGCTTTGGAAGACAATAAGTCCCAAAGATGGCATGACTAACCATGCAATTTATGTTTGATTTCTCTTATTTTTTGGTACTATCTGGAATAGTTTTGGTTGTTTCTGTGTATAAATATGATATTTACGACATGATTCTTCCACTTTTATTGTTTGGCGTGCAAGTATTTTGAGAACCATCAAAAGGTTGCATCACCATTCGATGATTACGAATATGTCTTTCATCTTTATGCTATTATCTAGTTATTCAATACCATATGTAACATCAATGGTTGATGCTGGACATCTTGACTGAATTATTGTTTTATCTGCTTTCTGAAAAATCGATCTTTATATTGAACACTGTGACATCAACCTATGATGTAATTGCTCATAGTTGTACATGTGGTTTTTTAGGCAATAGTTTGCTTCTTCTGAGAGAAGTTTGTAGGTTGGATACATGCTAGAAAGGAGATTGAGGTTGCCATGAGAGAATGCATTATCCCGTCAGAGGACCTTAGCATAAAAAAATCATTAACTATAGGCTGGATTTTTCCGCAATTGTAGTTGACTAAAAAAACAAGTTTGGAAATTTCTGATACCTCAGTAGCTTCTTCTCATGGACGGTTGCTTGATTCACTGTGAGATCTGAGTCAGTCATCTTTTCATATAAGGACGCAAAACGCGGGACAACTACTGGTGTCTCAGCTCATGATAGAGCCAGGACAATATTGTCTCTTGCATCAAAAGATTCAAAACCTGAAGATTTTAATCGGCCTGGCCATGTTTTCCCCCTAAAATATAGAGAAGGAGGGGTTCTCAAAAGAGCTGGGCATACAGAAGCTTCTCTTGATCTGGCAATGTTGGCTGGGTTGGAGCCTATTGGAGTTCTATGTGAGATAGTGGATGATGATGGTTCTATGGCCAGATTACCAAAGCTTCGTCAATTTGCACAGAAAGAGAACTTAAAAATAATTTCAATTGCTGATTTGATCAGGTACTTTTGCACCCTTCTTGCATGCGCAATTTCCCTTTTGTTAATTTTTATGTCCCTCTGCTTTTAGCCACACAGACGGTCTTTGATTGTCTTCAGAGTGGTCATTTGCAGCCATTTCTTCTAAAATGGCGAATCTCCTTTCTGAGCGTCCAATCTTTGAGGTGATTTTCCTTGTGGAATTTCAACCTTCAAGCGATTAAACACTGGTGTATCTTGTTTATCTTCTGTACTGAAATGAGGCTTCCTCTGCAAGTGATATGTCGACAAAGCTATGAATTGACAAATTCTGCGATCTAGGTTGCTATTACTGGTACCCTGCGCTCGTCTCATCTGATATTTCACTGTATCTCCTGGAATCAGATGCATGTTGCATCTTTTTTCTTCACTTGCTTCATCTGTGGATGATTTATCGCTTAGATTGCATTTGGAATCTCATGCATTTTTTACTGTTAGATCTAATCTATGTTTTGTATGAGGATTGAGGAGTACTATGACTGTGGAGAAGCTAGGAATGTTCAAGTTGAGTTATTAGAAGTACATCAGAAGGGATAAGTTATACAAAAGAAAGTTCTTTCTTTTAACTCACCCAATCCTTGGATTCTGGTAGATTCCTGATCTAGTTTTTCAAGTCATGTAGGAAGAACGGTGAAAACTTCCGTTCCTCTCGCACGATTCATGGTTATTCCAGCGTAATCTTTATCACAGTCAAAGTTGTAATAGCTATTACATGGAGCCCTCCGTAATAGCTATTACAACTATTCTCAGTATATGCCTTTGTTCTCGATGTTGTAATAGCTATTTTCAAAATACCCATCTTTATCACTCATTCTATCAATGTTAGAGTAAATTAGCGTTGAAATAATTATTAATTCTAATTAAATTTATTTATATTACTTGTAATGATAACATCAATTATACTTATCTTTGACTTTAATCACAAATTGTGTAATTAATAAATAAAATATTAAATAGTAGGTAAATAATTCATGAAATATAATTTATGTTATCTTGATAATACACAACTTTCATAATAAATTGACAGTCTATTAGTTGCTCCCTATTAGGTAAGGTTGTCTAAATTTTCATAACTTGAAATTACATTAACTAATGCTCAAATTGTGATATAATTATTATTTCAATCATACTATTAATTATGTAATCACTAATATTTTTTTCATATAATCTCATATTATATGATTAAATCTAAATCATAATCATAAATTAATTATTAAGTGATTGATGATAATTTTATATACTATTGAAGTAATAATTACAATAATATAATATTTATTTTATTAAAATCACGTGTTATGTGCTTAATTTTTAATTATAATCATAAATAAGTTACTAAAATATAAATAAATGTTTGATGTAATGGATTATTTTCAAATGATTTATACGGGGTATTAAACTCATGAATCATGATTAACAATTAAAGTGATAATTATAATATTCTCTCCGATTTCTATTTTAGGGTTATTTTAGGAATTCTGATGCTATATGTTATTCATGAAATCAGACTATGTAACGGGTATTACATTTTTTAAACTAAATAGCATAATAGGCGTTCGGCTTTATTACCTTATAGCATAATGGCATGTTCCAACCTTATTCCATTTTTGAAACCAAACGGGCTGTAATTGATAGCCTTTCTTATTACAAATAAGCAATGACACCTTGCGTCCTTGAACTGATGATTGTCTTTCGCCTGAAGTAGCCTCCTCTGACCCTTGGGATCAACGAGGCATAGTAATTGTCCTTTGAGAACAGGTTGGGTGATGTGAGATGCTGTTGGAACTTGGAAGATTGTCTTCCATAATCATGTTTCCAGCGTAGCATGCATGTGGTTTTTCTGTTAACGCTGTGTGCTCTTTGATCCAAATAATTTATTGCGATAAAATTCTTTTTGTGCAATTCTTATGGCAGATATAGAAGGAAAAGGGACAAGTTGGTGGAGCAGGCTGGTGTTGCCCCAATACCCACGATGTGGGGGCCTTTTATGGCCTTCTGTTATAGATCACTGCTTGATGGGATTGAGCATATTGCCATGGTTAAAGTAAGTGCCATTGCTGGATAACTAAAGAATTTTTCAAGTAGTTACTATTAAACTAGTACCAGATGCAAGATGCAGGGATAAACTTCTCAGTTTGCCCAGTGTTTTGACTTTCCATATTCGTATTTGTGATGCAACGGCTTACTGAAATCTGCGACTCTGTTTTTTCCCCTCGAAGGCTTCTTATAACGTTTAATCATATAATCAGGTTCTTTTTATGGTTGCCATCACTTATACGGTTCAAAAAATTTTCAAAGAAAAAAAAGTAGATAAAAGATCGGCAAATTGTCTTGGGACAAAAAGGTGCTGTATTGTACTTTCTATGATCAATTTTCTAGGTGTTTTTAGAAAGATGCTTGTTTGTGTGTCCTTTGTGACTTTCATTTGATTGGTCCATGACAGGATGAAGATACATGGGTTAAAATTGGCTGTAGGCTTCAATTCTCCATTTAATTTATTCTGGAAAATCCTCGTCATCTGCTTTGTCAAAAATTTATTATCATATTACAGTCTAATTATTATACTTCCTTGGATGTAATGAAACAAGACAAATGAAGAAGACAAAAGATGCTTCTTCTCTTGCTTAAATATATATATATATATATATTTTCGGAGTACCTGTAGTTGGAAGTTCCAAACTGCTGATTTTCTTGTTCTGTAGTTATACTTTTTTCTACTTGATTTTCCTTTCTCAGTATAATCTATCTGCAACAGTAGATGCTATGTGTGTGGAGCAGGAGGAATATCAGAACTCCTGAAGATAGAGAAAATTCTTATTCTATTGTTGGGCTTGTAAGACCATCCACACCTGCAAAGATGTTCATTTGGTTGCGAATGTCTTTGATAACTAATCCCATAGCGGTGACGGAAACATAGGTGAGAGAATATGTTGAATGATTATAACAGGCAGGTGGTGCTCAGGGGGTTTTAAGAAGAGAAACCAAAAGACCAATCAGAATCTAGTGGTCTTAAAATAATACCTGAAATTATTCAAATATAGACTATAAATACTCACACCACAAAAGCAGGGGAGCTTTGGACTAAATAATGCTGCATGTGCTTTTCATTTCGATGAATTTTCATAGTTATTTTTCGGGGGGTTGGGGGAAGGACAAAGTTCGCCTTTAAATCAACTTTGTTTTCATCCTCCACTATTTAAATCAAACATTTGCATTTGTCCACATGGAGGACGATTATCTACCGGGTGGTTAGTAAATTCTCAATGTCACAATAGTTCAGTACTTACGTGGAATGCCAACTCAAGCAAAAAATAAGCACTAAATTTTAAATTTGTAAGAAGTTTTTATAGGTGCTGTTCAATATTAAATACTGTAATGTGGTCGTGATGTTTCTGAATATTCTTGGAGGGTGAGTGAAAGGTGCTTCTTCAACAGAGTGATGAATGGTATTTAGTTGAAGTAATGGATACTTCTGAAGCCAAAAGGAGTAGTGAATGAATTTTTTAGTACCACTTAGCATCTAACTGCTATGATAATCCTGTTTGTGCATCTAGTTTCTGACTAGCAAAGCTTCCCCTATCAGACCACATAAGTCTTTTAGATCGGACAGTTGTGTTGGTTGGTACAGAATATTACTTGTTAATGCTGTGTCTTGCGAGAATCGGTGAATACTTTATTACGTCGAAATGGGTAAGGAGGTTTGAACTTTGATACTTCCAGGGTGAGATCGGAGATGGACATGACATTCTTGTGAGGGTACATTCAGAGTGTCTCACCGGCGATATATTTGGATCGGCGAGATGTGACTGTGGCAATCAGCTGGCGCTTGCTATGAAACAAATCGAGGCAGCTGGGAGGGGTGTGCTGGTGTATCTTCGTGGGCATGAAGGGAGAGGGATCGGTTTGGGCCATAAGCTTCGTGCTTACACCTTACAAGACGACGGTCGTGACACTGTGGAAGCCAATGAAGAACTTGGATTACCTGTTGATTCCAGGGAATATGGCATTGGTGCTCAGGTACACACTAAAATCCCATTCTATCTGCAATGTATTAATGTGCAAATGCGAATCAAATGATGGCTCGAACCGTGTGATAGTATCAAGACGTACAAACTTGTTTATGGAAGAGGTACAAACTTCTTGATTTTGAACTTGCACCAAATTTGTAATTCTTTTTGAAGGCTTTAGCGTACAATGAAAATGATGGATAACACCATCTAATGTGCTTCAAAAAGGTCACTCTTAGGGGGTGTTTGTTTCAATAAAAATGATATCCATGAAATGATTATCCAAACTCTCGTGTTAAAAAGTGGATGATCAATACAAAGGGTTTTACGATCAAGGAAAACAATCGTAGTTAAAATTGAGGAAAATGATCTCTCCAACTGTAGGTATTTCATGTGTTTAGTTGCGAAAGCAGACGCTGCTGTCCCGTACGCTTTATTAGATCTGCATATCTCGTCTCTCTTGTTCGGTCTATTTCTTTTCGCACCCATTTCTTTCTGTCTTTCGTTTCAAAGTACGTGTTGTTGATTGGCGACCAATCACTGCAGATTTTACGAGATACAGGCGTACACACGATGAGGCTGATGACGAACAATCCTGCCAAGTATGTAGGTCTCAAAGGCTATGGTTTGGCCATAGTTGGTCGGGTGCCGTTGTTGACGCCTCTGACCGTGGAGAACAGAAGATATCTGGAGACGAAGCGCGCGAAGATGGGACATGTCTATGGCCACGAAGATACTGATTCCACCGCAGATGACTCATCTGAGACATGAACAGTTTCAAGAACGCGACCCGCCTTTCAATTTTTCATACGTTTTTGCAGCGTTTTGGATTTCCTGCCATTTTGGCTAAAACTCACATTTGAGTTTCTCTCGTCCCTCGGAGAAGACTATACCACGGTAATCAATTTCTCTTAAAATGATTTCTCTATAGATAATGTTTTGAACCGTAAGCAATTTCTTATAGAATTTAGTAGATAGGCGCTTAATACGTTGGCTAAGGTTTTTAAAGGTTTGGCCCGGTTTGACCTGGGATCAAACTTCGTGAAAATTTGATTAGAGGGTGTAATTGGATCGTATCTATGGCAGACTTTCCAACATTACTCAGCCTTCACAAATCTGGCTGGGAAATCCCAAGAAATTATATTTTCTAATCGCGACCGTCCGATCTCGAGGGTATTGGAAAAATTGGGAATTTCTACGGCCGATTCATCTTAAAAAAAATGCAGATCACAAGATACATGGAGGATCGATCGAACTTACAAAACGGAGGAATGATCATGGCTTGGTCAAATTACTTGGGACAAAAGTTGTCAAAAATCGAAAATTATATCCACTGTAATATATTTATCTAATTTTTTTTCTGTGACACTAAAAATTTCAAATTTGTACCTGTGTGATATATTTACTCTCTATCAAGGTTTCGTCAATGAGCACCGTTAAAAATCTGTTTATATTGACGCTGAAAAGTAAACGTTATTAATATGGCATCCACATGGCTTAAGTGAAATAAAAATAACGTTGTTTTGACTGAAAAATCATTTGACGAATTTTGACGGAGGGTAAATGTGTCATATAGGTACAAGTTGATAAGAAAAAGTTTAGGATAAGTGCTTCACAGTGGGCATATTTTAGGTTTTTTTTATATCAAATTAAAATTTTCATAATTAATGTGTCAAAGTAGTCATTGTTTATGATTTTTTTTGTGACTTTTTCCCAATTAATTACTAATAACGGGGTCTAATGAAAACAGAAAAGCGTGGCATTTTGTGATGATCTTTGAAACTAAAGGAGAACATGTGAGAATTTCGAAAAACAAAAAAAAAAAAGAACATATGAGAATGAACTCAAAACAAACTTCTTGCATTAGCCATGCCAAACCCTAACACACTATACTTCATCTTCAATTTTTCAATGATGTACTAGAGTTTATTCGGCGTGGGCGATCCCGTCTCCAATGTCAAAGCACGACGCAAGTGTGTTTTAAGAGATACACATCACTTGTCTGTTGGACACCGAGATAAATCGCGCAAATCCGATATTAATCGCGGATGAAGATGCGCACATCGGATGTTTAAGCAAAAAGAAAAGAAAAGGAAAGGAAAACATCGGCCGGAGTTGCCACATTAGAGCATGTAGCCTCCTCTCACTCACTATTCCAAGTCACCTAAGTCAGATGCCCTCTCTTGAAGTTTTGACTCCTCTTTTTCTAGTCATAATTTGTGATTTTTAAATTCCAATAACTTCCATTAATCCTTTTTTTCTTTTTTTTATGTATGATCACTACCTTTTTTGTAGTAGCCATGCAAAAGTATCGAATCATTCGTGGGTCCTGCACCCTCTTTTACTTTATCGGATTTGATTAGATATTCGAATCGGTGGCGTATCATCGCAATCATTCTGACACGTACATACATATAATTGACCAAAACATCGACATTTATACTTCCATTTCCTTTTTCTACAAAAGTTTTTGATCCTCATTCCATGTAGACGAAAACAAAACAATATATTCTAGCAACGTGAAATCTTCGGAAGATCCATCGTCATTACTTCATTAATCCGACTCAGGTCTAGTGCATGCATGTACGTAGAGTAAATCCATCCTCGGAAAATAGCTTTTGGTGACCACTTTATGTGCATTTACTCACTCACCTATCTCATTTGGATTTGAAAGGCATAAAAGGAAATCTTAGATGATTATTGGTGTGATTTCATTACCTAATATGGTGAGAATATAACCTAACTTTGGAGGCATGGCATGGCATGCAAGTAACTATACCTCCAAAGTTGCCACATGAAAAGGCAAAGAAAGGAAATAAATCATTTAAAGGACAGTCAAGAGACAAAAAAAAAAGAGAGGACAACTTTCCTTATATACTTTCTTACCCACTAAGCCTTGCTTTAATTTGGATAATTTTTTATTTGTTCTAGATATCTTTTTGGGGAAGGCAAGGAAGGCCAATAGGCAAAACAATTAATAGGGTGGGTAAGTTGTTGCAATCAAAATAGGTAATTTCAATCCACTTTACTAATCTATTGATGGAACAATTTCAATTTTTTTTTTCCTATTGAGAGCACGAATATTGGGATATGCAAATCATTTATTCTAGGAAATTGCACATTTCAAAAAATAGAAAATTATTTAGCAACGAAAAATTAGAACATATTCTTCTTCTCTTTTTACCTTTTTTTTTTTTTTTTTTTGTCTTTTTAAGTCTTTATAGGAACATTTGCCACCTTTTTTCTTTTCCCAAATTCATGACTTGGCAACAAAGTATCACCCCAATGGCCAACACTAGGATTTCTATTTCTCGGTTAGGCAACAAAAAGATGGTAAAGAAATTAAATCGAGCACCAAATTGGGAGGGAGGGAAATTATTTTCACACATCGCCCAAAACCGCATTCCATAATTTTTCTCTATTTACCACCATTGCAGCTTTTTCTGCAAACTTTCCTAGAAAACATCTCCGAATCGAGCTCAATTTCCCTACACATGTACAAAAACACTCTAAATATGGGCTGCAGTACACCTTTTGGCCCCGATCTTTCGACCGTCACCCAATTCCCCCCTCAATTTTCATTTCGTCGCGGTCATCAACATCCGGTTATCTCGACTATAACGCGCAACAATCGAATACGGGGCTGCAGTACACGTTCCTCCGCCCCCCGAACTTCCGACCGTTACCCAATTCCCCCCGCTCGACTTTCATTTTGTCGCGGCCATCCAACATCCGGTCATCTCGACCCTTAACGTGGTAACGAAACAATCGAATGAACATATGGGGCCAAAACATGCGATTACTCGCAAAATCCGGGAGAGTTTCGTGTAATTTTTTTCTTGTTTATTTCCTTTGGATGGAAGGAAGGAAGGAAGGAAGGACGGAAGGGAGGGAGAAGAGAAACCCCTCGAAAGATCGAATTGAAAATTGAAACTTTATGAACGGAGAGAGCTCAAAAGCCGTTTCGTCATCATCCCCCAACATCTCTCTCTCGCTCTCTCTCTCTCTCTCTGTCTCTCTGTCTCCGTCAGTCCAGTCAAGAGTCGAGCTTTGGTGGTGGTGCAACGCGCACAGAGCGCGAGCGCGAACCAGGTTCTCTCTCTCTCTCTCTCTCTCTCTCTAGGTTCATCCTCCGGCGGGTCCCATCCGATGCCATGACCCAATCGTCGGCCATCCCGGACGGCCGGCACCGCCCCCCGCCGCCGCGGGCCACCCCGTTCCGCCGCTCCCTCTTCCCGCCGAATTCCTCCGGCCCCGGCGGCGGGGTGGCGCGCCGACGGCCCCCTCCTTCCCCCACGACCACTGCCGCCCCCGGACCCCGCCCCCCCGCCGACCGCCCCCCGCCGCCCTGCTTCATCGTCGAGCTCCGCCTCCGCCACCAGCTCCCACGCGGCTGCGCCAGGCCGGGGCTGCAGGCCCTGGTCGCGAGCTGCCGGCCCCGGCCCGCCAATTCGACCTTCTACGCGTCGGACGACGTGGTGGCGGCGCTCTATTTCGAGCGGTGGGAGGACGCGCGGGACGCGGCCCTGCATCTCTGGGAGTCCCGCGTCGCCGGCGCGCACCCGTTCTCGCCGGAGCTCGCGTCGTCGATCACCCTGCCTGCCGCGAAACAGGAGGTCGAGGAGAGGCTCAAGGCCTTGTTTCTTGATCGAATTGGGGCGTTGATGGAGGGAGAGGTGGTGAGAAAATGGGAGGTGAAATTGGGCGATGTAATCGTTGAGATTGAAAAAGTGAAAAAATTTATGAGGTCGAGGATGATGAATCTCAGGATTTTCGGAGAACTGAGCAAGAAGGAGAAGGGGCTTTCTACGGAGCGCGAGGTGATTGAGAAGAAGCTCATGGAGTTTAAGTCTGCGATGCTTTGCCTAAGGGATCACATTGAAGGGAATGCTGTTGAGGAGACTCTGCAGGTCTTCAAGTTTGAGAGTGGCCATGTGGATTGGTCTAGGATTCATCAGTTGATTCTGAGGGAGTGTAAGAGGCTCGATGATGGCTTGCCCATCTATGCCTGCCGGCAGGGCATTCTTCAGGAAGTTTATAATCAGCAGGTAGTTGGAACTTTTCTGTTCTTGTACTTTATCTTTGATTTTATGTAATTCGGATGCTGAACAGTGGGAAATCCACCCGTGTTTATATTCCGGGAGTGCCACTTGTATGTGTATATACAATAGTTCTTTTCTTTTTCTGAACTGGTGTATCATACTGCCCTGACGATTCCTAAGGGGTCCTTGACCTTATTGCCTTATGCATGAGTGATGGCAAATTTTCGTGCTTTTCTGATGATGGTTGCCACAAATTTGCTTGAACCAAGTTGTTTTAGTGAGATGGCGCATCTCCCTCCATTTTAAGTCGTCTGCCTGGACTGATTCTCTTAGAAGTTCATTTTAAATGCATCTGTTAGGGCATACCATTCTTGTTGGCAGCATCTGTCAAGTGGCTCAGGATATTTTGTTTTTTGTTTGGGCTCTTCTGTTTCTTTACACACATATCCCTCATCTCTGAAGGAGTAGTGGTTTCTTTGGAACTAGGGGTGAGTTTTGCATATGACTTCAATAGAAGATGAATCATCAATGTTGGTATGCACTTTGTTTGAAATTTGAATTCTTTCCAACCTTGCCCAAGATGTCCAGTACATATTTCGAAGTTACATGTTTGCAATCAGAGATTGCATTTTTCTTTAGCCTGTTGAGACTTGATTGGTTTTATCTTTATTGTCTGGTGTTCCTGACATGTTAAACCTTGATCCCTGAAGCATGTTGGCATTGGCATGATGTATTCTCCGTCCTCTGTATCTCATGACTTTCTGCTTATGTGATATTTTCCAATAGGGCATCTTTCTTTAATCTCAACAATTCAAATTTTCTTTTTTTTTTTTTTCATTTCTTGGATGCTGGTAGATTTCTGCTTGTAAATAAGAGAACATTGTTATTGGATCACCTTTTCTATTTATCATTATGTAGTCTATCCTTGTCTCTTCTTTTTTGCTGTCCAGTTCTCAACTTTGTAGGGCTTTTGCCCTAGCTTAATGCTTCTTGTCAAATCTCTGTGGGGCTTTTGCCCTTGCTTAACGATCAGTTTCCATCAAATGTAAATCTCCATCGAATATTCAGTTTTTGAATTTCTCATCATAGTTGGGTGCCGTTGAACCTCATATGTTACCTGAAGCATCTATTTGCTAGTCGGTATAAATATGGTGCCAAGTGGTCGCATCTTTCGTTCAGAAGAAGTGCTTCTCTGTGGTCAGTTTCTGTGATTTTCCTTGTTTCTTAGCGTCTAGCCATTCACCATACTCAATCATCCTTGATAGATTTCTGTCTTGTTTCAAGGATCTATTTCATCTCTTAAAAACACTATTCTATTGATCGTAGAGCACCATCGTTGAAACTGCGCCTGAAGTAACGAAATACAGTAGTTGGTGATTGGTTAGTCACAGAAACTTGTGTCTAGTGGATGATACGATCTGCCTTTAGGTTGTTAGTGGTGACGGTAGTTGTTAATGCATGATTGTATTTAAATGGAATGATGAATTGTTGGTCTTGGAAGTTTGGAACCAAAGTGGGTGGCAAGATGGCGGCAGCAATGTACTTTGGACTAGTAGGTTGTCATTTGATGGTGATCAAGGTGACTTATTGGTTGATGGTGGTTGATTGTGATTGACGATTGGTGGTCGTTAGCTAGCGACATGAGTGACAAACATCCTTAGAACGACTAATCCCTGTGGAAATTGGAAGTGTTTTATGATACTTAGTATGTACTTTTAGATCTACAATGTGAATTTTTTAGTTCAAGATGTTTTGACTATGCCAATAGCAATAACATGCAGAAGATTTTTTAGGGAAAGTGCAATAGAAGTCCTAAAACTTGAACTAATTACATATGAGTCCTAAAACTTAGTGATAAATCTATTTGAATTGTATAATCAACGATTTTCAGCGGTTTCTCTCACCAGCAATATGCCATGTGTGATATTCGGACAGTATAAAAGTTGCCGGAGTTGCTTGTTTGAACCATTATGAAAAGTTGCAGGACATATATAATCAACTGAAATGTTTGAGGACTTATTTGTACTCATGGAATAATTTTAGGACTTCGAGTGTACTTTCATTGGAAGATTTACATAGTTTTTATTGTAAGATCGGAACTCTTTGGTTAACTCATAAATTGTGATCAGCAGATTTCCCTTTCTTAAACTAGATCGCTCATTATCCTATTCCGGTGCTGTCAAGCCACTCTTTTTGGCAACTTTCATTTAATTCTTTGTCTTACAGTCGCCCCGATTCATAAATTGTGATCAGTAGACATAGTGTTTTATATTGAAGAATGATACTATTGCTTCTGAGGCATCTCTAAGATATCTAAATCATTATGATATACTCAGGTTATGTTTCGTCTCTGATATTAGAAAAGGATACCATTCTTTTTGTTGGGAAGAGGGGGGGGGGTGGTAAGCCACCTAAGGGTGCCACTATTTGTAAAACAAATTTCAAGTTGATGACACAAGATCTACTGTGCTGGAAGTTCCTACATTTTACTCGCTGAAGACTAGCTGATGAATGGCGGAATACGTGAAGTTAGCTAATCTGTCTGCAAAATTACGAAAACTTCCTCCTCGTTATTTCTAGGATGTGACATGCATCTTAAACTATCGTGGGATTTACTATTTCATGTTGTCGAGACATTATTTGAGATTACTTTGCTAAATCAATCCAGTATTTATTGAGATCTTTTTTTGCATGACTATTCCGTCAGCCTTCCTCTTTTCTAGTTCCTCGTTTTATGCTCTTCCTTCCTTTTTTAGTCTTTTCACCTTAAGTTTTCAGATTCTTCTTGTGCCTGTCATGGTACTAAATCTTCGGAGTTGCTTATCAACCCCTTTAGATCACAAGAAAGTGTGAATGCCGATCTCTGAATTGCCTTTCAACCTTTAAATACCAATCTCATGGAGAATTTTTTCCCCTCAATTCTAGAGTTGGACATTAAAGATTAGGAGAGCTTTACTGTAAACGCTCTTTGTACTAAGACGGTATTTAAGGTGCATTAAGAATGCTTCGACATTGGCAATGTCTTATAGACTGAGTACTTGCTTCCGTGTAAACAAACTCACGATGGATTGCTTTTCCTGCTCCACTATTATGTTCTCCGACAGAAAAGTTAGTTTGAGTAGCAGATACTTTCTTTGAACTTTGATAGTGGCTCCAATCCTACATACTTGGAATTTGTTTGGCTTCTTAAATTGAGATGAGCTCGTTGAGGGAGAGGATTATCCCTGATATATGCGATAAAAAAGGTAAGATGGAAGAAAATGCATGTAGTCATGTCTCCACTAATCTCACTTTTGCCACTTGCGGTTACGAGATAATTGGAGTCAGTGAAGCATTTATGATGCTTTCCCTTTTATTGCTTGATCTTGCGTCATTAATTCGCAGATTCCAGGAACAGCCAAGAGGCTGTTTCCTCAACGATAATGTCTTGATTGGAGAGGTCAAATAATGAACTTTGGCCTCAGGTGGGAGGGGAAAATAGTCTCCTGTGGGACCATTGGCCTTAGTCTTTCAAAAGAAAAATTAACAATAATAAAGATGATTGGACAGACAAATTGGAGCATTAATTTTGTGAAGTTAGTCTCTGATTTATTTCCGAATGTTCTATATATCGGTTACCTTCTATATCTTTTAGTTCACAGGTATAGTACTCATCTATTTCTTAACTACAATTATCTGTAGGGGTGAGCAAGATGGACCGCCCAAACCGGGACCGGACCGGACCGGACCAACCGGTTTGGTCCGGTTCTCGGGAATATCAATCCAGTTCCCAGTTCGTAAAAGTGGAACCGGTTTCCGGGCGGTCCGGTTCCCTGTTCTAGGTTGGGAGTTGGACCGGACCAATAAATATATATATTTTTCTAATTTATATATATTTATTTACTTTTTAAAATTTTTGAAAAAAATAGAAAGCCTTATCTAATTTTCCAATTCCCTCTTGCGTTTACCAATAAGTGATTGGTCCCATTGGAACCGGACCGGACCAATGGTCCGGTCCGGTCTACGGTCCCAAGACTAGCTGGTCCGGTTCCCGGTTCATGGGTTGGACCGGACCGGACTGGGAACCGCTTACCCCTAATTATTTGTCACGCATCAAAGCGAGAAACCAATTCATAGGATTAAAAGGGTTAGAATTGCATAAATAGACTACTTGAGGTGATTTCACGTTCTTTTTACTACAAAATACTTTGTGGGTTCACTACAAAATCTATTACGATCATTTGTTGCATTTTTGCATTGGTAGGTTATGTCATTCACTATGATGATGAATCTAAATGCTGATTTTTGGTTCTCTTTTCAAATATTTGCACAGATAATGGTATTGATAGGAGAAACTGGTTCTGGGAAAAGTACCCAGTTGATTCAATATCTTGCTGATTCAGGAGTGGGTGCAAATGGTTCCATAGTATGTACTCAACCTCGCAAGATTGCTGCAATCTCCTTAGCGGAGCGGGTCAGAGATGAAAGTGTTGGTTGTTATGCAGGCAATTCGGTTGTCTGTGATCTGACATTTTCCTCTTCTCAATTTCTGAAGTCAAAGGTTATATACATGACCGATCACTTTTTGTTACAACACTACATGTGTGACGAGAATTTATCTGGGATTTCCTGCATTATTATTGATGAGGCACATGAAAGAAGCTTGAGCACAGATCTCCTTTTGGCAGTAATTAAAGATTTACTTTGTCGGAGGCCTAATTTGAGGCTTATCATAATGTCCGCAACAGCTGATGCAGACCAGCTCTCAGAATACTTCTATGGGTGTGCAATATTTCGTGTTATGGGTAGAAACTTTCCGGTAGATATCAGATATGTGCCACCTTCATCTGCTGGGGCAAATTCTACCGGGGTTATCGCATCCTATGTTGTCGATGTTCTGAGGATGGCTAGTGAGATTCACGGGAGAGAGAGAGAAGGGACCATTCTCGCCTTTTTAACTTCTCAAATGGAAGTAGAGTGGGCTTGTGATAATTTTGAAGCTCCATCTGCAGTTGCGCTGCCCTTACATGGGAAGCTTGCTTATGAAGAGCAGTTTCGAATTTTCCTGGAGTATCCAGGGAAAAGAAAGGTAATATTCTCCACAAATCTCGCTGAGACATCACTTACCATTCCCGGAGTTAAGTACGTGATTGATTCCGGTTGGGTGAAAGAAAGCAAGTTCGAACCAGGCACTGGAATGAATGTTCTCAAAGTTTGCAGGATTAGCCAAAGTTCTGCCAATCAAAGAGCTGGTCGAGCGGGGAGAACGGAACCTGGACGGTGTTATAGGCTCTATGCCGAGTCTGACTTTGTCTCGATGCCCCTCAGCCAGGATCCTGAAATTCTTAGGGTGCATCTAGGCATTGCTGTTCTGAGGATCCTCGCTTTGGGAATTTATGATTTGCGGGATTTTGATTTTGTTGATGCTCCCTCTGACAAAGCTATTGACATGGCCATCAGAAATCTTGTTCAGTTGGGGGCCATTACTGTGATTAATGGTATTTATGAGTTGACAGATGTGGGCAGGTATTTGGTTAAGGTTGGAGCTGAACCTCGGCTAGGTAAGTTGATCTACAGTTGCTTTCGTCATGACTTGGGCAGAGAAGGTGTTGTTCTTGCTGCTGTGATGGCAAACGCAAGTAGCATATTTTGCAGAGTTGGTAGCGATACTGACAAGCTTAAATCTGATTGCTTGAAGTTGCAGTTTTGCCATCGTGATGGCGATCTGTTCACTCTTCTGTCTGTTTACAAAGCATGGGAGTCTGTGCCTCGAGAAAAGCAGAATCTGTGGTGTTGGGAGAACAGCATCAATGCCAAGTCAATGAGAAGATGCCAAGAGACAGTTAAGGAATTTGAAGATTGCCTTAGAAGGGAACTCAACATTACAGTCCCATCTCTTTGGCATTGGGATCCTTATAAGCCTAATAAGCTTGATGACCTTCTAAAGAAAGTTATACTTTCCTGTCTTGCTGAAAATGTTGCCATGTACTCTGGATGTGATAAACTTGGTTATGAAGTGGCTTTGACTGGTCAGCATATACAATTACACCCTTCATGTTCGTTATTATCGTTTGGGCAGAAGCCGAGATGGGTCGTTTATGGTGAAATCATATCATTGTCTACTCCATATCTGGTTTGTGTGACGGCTTTTGATTTTGACTTTTTGTGTACACTCTGCCCTCCTCCCTTGTTTGATTTTGAAAGGATCGAGAGTCGGAAGTTGCAATCGAGGGTATTGACTGGTTATGGCAGTACTCTCTTGAAGAAGTTTTGTGGGAGGTCCAACTGTAGCCTTCAATTCCTGATATCACATGTTCGGGAAGAGTGTATGGATGAACGGGTGACTGTTCAAGTCAATGTGGATCAAAATGAGGTTTCAGTATTTGCTTCTTCTCAGGATATGAAAAAAGTTTTTACTCTTGTCAGCGACTCACTGGAGTGTGAAAAGAAGTGGTTGCTGAATGAATGCATTGAAAAGTGCTTATATCATGGCCCAGGCAATTCAGCCCCCGTGGCACTGTTTGGAGCTGGTGCTGAGATTAGGCATTTGGAACTGGATAAAAACTTTTTGACCGTTGATGTATGTCATCCAAATGTTAATTCTGTCGATGATAAGGAGCTTTTGGTTTTTCTTGAAAAACACGCACAAGATAGCATTTGTGCTGTCCACAAATTTACAGGCAGCTTTCCAGATGGTGACGACAAGGACAGATGGGGCAGGATAACTTTTGCTACCCCTGAGGCTGCCAAACGAGCTGCTGAGATGAAAGAAGTTGAATTTGGCGATGCCATGCTGAAGTTGCATCCGTCGCGGTCATTTTTGGGAAGTGATAATAAGTTTTACTTGTTTCCTGCTGTCAGAGCAAAAGTCTACTGGCCACGGAGGGAGAGTAGAGGTTTTGGCATAGTGAAATGTGATGTCCGTGATGTGCCTACCCTGGTTTTTCAGTTCTCTAACTTAGTTATAGGGGGCCAATATACTCGTTGTGATGCTGGCAAAGATTGTCAGGGCAGTGTAGTTATTAGAGGACTTGGAAAAGAGCTTTCGGAAGCTGAAATTTTGGATGAGTTGAGGAGAGCCACTAACAGGAGAATCCTTGATTTTTTCCTGGTTAGAGGGAAGTTTGTGGAGAATCCTCCAATCAACGCCTGTGAAGAGGCACTCCTGAGAGAGATCACTCCTTTCATGCCCAAAAATAATCCTCGAGTGAGTCATTTCAGTGTTCAAGTCTTTCCACCTGATCCTAAAGATGCCAATATGAGGGCTTTGATCACCTTCGATGGCAGATTGCATTTGGAGGCTGCAAAAGCTTTGGAGCAAATTGAAGGAAAGGTATTGCCTGGTTTTTTGCCGTGGCAGAAGATAATATGCCAGCAATTGTTTCACACCTCGTTATCATGTCCTGCACCTGTCTATTATGTTATCAAAGAGCAACTGGAAGATTTGCTTGCAAGTTTCAAGGACATTGAAGGTAGTTCTGGCATCACTTCTACTTTTTCCTCTCTCTTTCAGGCATTTTTTTATTGTGAGAATGATGTTTCTACTAGTTGTTACTGCATGATTCATTATGAGTCTGGTCTATCATATTCTTACTAGATACTTTCTTCTTTTCTTGTTCGTTCTTATAAATATCGCTAGTCTGTGACAGTGTCTAGAAGTTACTAAATTTCTGTCTTGTCACACCAGATCGGTAAAAATATGCATAGTGCTTGCCTATAGTTGCAGAAGTTAGAACCTATTCATTAGAACTTGGTTCTTTAAGTGGAAGTTGGTGATTGGAGCCCTGCAGACAAATAGTAGGGTATTCTGTATATCTTGTTTCATTTGCTGTGTTGGTTTGGTATTTTTGGTTTTTGTGCAGGGTCTGTCAGGCTTGAGTTAGTGCCAGTGGTATCAATCTTAACAAGGTCCTTTGCTGTTCTTTTGTGTCTACAATGAGCGTATTTGCAAATGTTACGTTTCCGTTTTCTGATTTTATTTTTCTAATTTACATCAGCATCTACTTTATCAGTGGTTTCTCGTAAGTAACTTTATGAAGTACTCTATGCCCATGGGGATTGTTTTACATCTTGAAGCTGAAGTTTAGTAGCAGTATCCATCTCCTGTGGTATCCTTGGATAAGGAATTGTAACCCGTGATTAAAAAAATGTTGATGTTGCTGCACCTGCACCCTAATCTTCTTATGTGGTCTGTTTTTAGCTTTTAACCACTTGAAGTGCTGGATGCGATATTTTATGACAAATGAGGTTTCAAAAAAGGTTGAAATATTTCCTAAATGTGAGTCTTTGGTATCTCTAAATTCTCGTGTCAGAAGTTCCCTGAATTGCTCTACCATTATGTAAACAATATAATTGACAACTATAGTTGCATGACTTCCCTTGTGATATTAAGTCTAGATGCTCTTCTTCTTTTGGTTTTTATGACATTGCTGAATTGCTATTTCATGGAAGATCAATATTTTCTGTTGATGAAATTGATTTATTGCATGGCATATCTTCAATGTAATATCTGGAAGCGAAGATTGTGAGAGAGGTCTGTAGCAGTTATTGAATTTACCTTGTTTGTTTGCAAGTTTATTTGTCTTAAGGTTGACGAATTACATATCAATAACGACAGACCGGGAAATTATAGAGTATAGTTTTTCAATTGGAATATATGAAGATTAATGTTACATTGCTGCCCTTCAAGTGTTCCAACGTATGAGGAACTTTTTTTTCTTTTTTTGATTTCACGAGGTTTTGATTTGAGAAGGGTCATAACATTCACAGCCGCTGCATCATATATTGAATGCTTGCACATATCCAATGTGTGCTGAGTATCGCGTGCTTTGCTGTAGACGGATACTAACTGCAGTAAGTAATCTCATCTCAGGGGCAGAATGTCATTTGGAAAGGACTTTAAATGGTTGCTTTCGAGTGAGAATATCTGCCAATGCAACAAGAACTGTGGCAGAGATGAGAAGACCTGTGGAAGAGCTTGTGAGAGGGAAGACTGTTGACCACCCTAGTCTCAGTCCTGCTGTAGTACAGATTCTTTTCTCCAGAGATGGTATCAATCTCTTGAAACCACTCTCGCGACAGACTGGAACCTGGATATTATTCGACAGGCACATGTTGAAATTGAGGGTGTTTGGATCTTCAGAGAAAATTGCTGCAGCGGAGGAGAAACTCATCACAGCCCTTGTAAACCTTCATAAGAGCAAGCAACTTGAAATTCGACTTCGTGGTAGGGATCTGCCACCTGAACTGATGAAGGAAGTTGTCAAGAAATTTGGGCCCAACCTTGATGGACTTAAAGAAAAGGTACCCGATGCTGAAATCTGTCTTAATGCCTGTCGCCACATCATCTTTATGAAGGGCAATAAGGACATGAAGGAAAAGGCGGAGGAGATTATCTATGATTTGGCAAAGACTATTGGTGCTTCGTCAGAGACACCTGATGAAGTGGTGGTAGCAGCAGAAGATTCCTGCCCAATTTGCTTTTGCGAGGTTGAGGATGGCTACCAGCTTGAGGGCTGTTCACATCGATTCTGTCGGGCCTGTTTGGTGGAGCAGTGTGAATCTGCTATTAGAAACCTCGATAGTTTTCCCATTTGCTGTGCTCACGAGGTTTGTGGGGCTCCTCTCTTGGTTACTGATTTGAGATCATTATTGTCAGCTGAGAAATTGGACGAACTCTTTCGTGCCTCTTTGGGTGCATTTGTTGCGTCGAGTGGGGGGTTATACCGCTTTTGCCCCTCCCCGGACTGTCCTTCAGTTTATCGAGTCACAGGTCCTGGGATACTCCCAGAGCCGTTTCTCTGTGGAGCCTGCTATGCCGAGACTTGTACCAGGTGCCACTTGGAGTATCATCCATATGTCTCCTGTGAGAGGTATCGCGAGTACAAGGAGGATCCTGATATGTCTCTCAAGCAGTGGTGTTCAGGGAAAGACCATGTGAAGGAATGTCCACGGTGTGGGTATACAATAGAGAAGGTAGATGGGTGCAACCATATAGAGTGCAAGTGTGGAAGGCACCTGTGCTGGGTGTGCTTGAGAATATTCAAAACCAGCGAGGATTGCTACGACCATTTGAGGTCCGTTCATTTGGCCATTATTTGAATTTTGGGTACTTGTGGTTATAAGCAGCTCAGTTTCATGTTATTTATGTAAATATCGTCAATGTATATAGTTCATCTGAAGGCCCAAAAGAAAAGAAAATCATCTAGTCAATTAGACTTATAGTACTAGCTCTTAGACTTATAGTGCTAGCTCCTGGTCCGTGACATGTTTCAATAATTCTCTCTCTCTCTCTCTCTCTCTCAATATATATATACACACACACACACATGCACACACATTATGTGCGCGCGCGAGCGTGCGTGCATGCCCGTTCGAGTCTGGGTGTGCCTGCTCGCATGTGTGCTGGGGATGCAGGCGTGCTGCATGGAGATGAGCTCAGGTTGGATGGTCAGGTTGTTCATAAGACTTCTCTGGTGCTTGTGGTTATCGAGAGGAAGAGACTACCGTATATAAAAGACCCTGGAGTTTTAACATTTGGACTTGCTATGCCCAATTGACCATAGATAATAGCCTCTTTAGATCTTGAACGGATTTCAGTTTTTAAGTTTGCACAATGGAAGATAATGGCAGGGTGGAATATTTAAGGACTTTTATAGTATGAGCAGTCGAACCCCGCACTTCTTTAGGATCGGTCCCTCAGGTTAGACTTTTGTCGATATCAGGCATATGCTTTTTTACTAGTGAGAATGAGAAAATCTACACTGGTGGAACTGCTTTGACCCCTCAATTGGAACGAAGGACTGTGACTCAAGTAAGAGACTTCAACCATTAAAGAAAGTTGCACTCCAAAACATCACAAAGTGATCCAACTTATATCATTCTATTGCTCGACTGTTATGACTTTTGCAAATTGCTCTGTTTCTCTTCACTAGGGTTTCGCAGGCGACCTGTGACAATAAGAGATCATACTATTGCTTTTAATGCTTGGGTTATGTTCAGCTAGCAATTCTTAGTGAGGTCATGAGAAGTTTTGCTCGGTCGAAGTTTGTTGTTCATTAGTTGTGCAATCTATGAGCGAGGGCTGTTGCCCCTGTCGAAGATTACATTGTACGACCACCAATCGAAAATATTGCTCGAATCTAGTAAAGTTCAGCCTATTCGTGATATTCCGATTCTACATCTACACTGTGTAAATACAGTCAATACACACGCCTCTTACGCTTAACATGTAAACAACAATTGCAGTCATGAATTCACGATCTCTCTCTCTCTTTAGGTTCCATATGATACAGCTATGTATGTAATGTTTGTGTGATGCGTTCATATGCACCTCCAAACCTTCATTTTCAGGGAGGACCTTGTCTCTTTGTTTCTTTTCTTCCTTCTCCCGTCACTTCATTGGCTGATTTGGAGGGGGTAACTAAGGGAGCTGATTGTTATTAGTGATGGAACACATGCACAAAAAACAAACAGGTAAATAGGTGGGCCTAACACTAATTTCTACAACTTGGCTAGTTGTCCTAGTGTCCACTTTGATGTGATATAGTTTGAGGCTGATTAACATGTGTCTACATTAGTCTGAGTCCCACAGAGTAATATTCAAAGGTCATGAGAACCGTCCAACTTTGCGCGTTAGATCTTGCATTAATTTGGTACCAAAACACCCTCATGAGATCAGGTCACACAAAAGTAATTCCTTACGAATTTTCTCGGTTAATGACCTGTATACCATATCAAAGCACATGAAGGCTAGCACAAAAAATGTCTCTTACATGCTTTTTTTTATTGGATGACACGGGTATCCGAACCGTCGGCTCAATTAATTCCTTGAATGCTTGGAAATCGCTGAGTTCGCATGCATCGAGTATCGCTCCATCCAGAGAGGATGATGGGTTCGGCTGGCAAGTTTACTCCGAGAAGAAAACACCGGAATTCTAACATACACGGAGTTTAGCGTATTCAAGTTAAGAGCTTAAACACTTGCTCTATCTCTTGGACGATGCTATCGCCCCTCAATGTCATGGAAAAAAACAAGAGGAGAGAGAGAGAGAGTGGGACACTGCTGAAAGAGATGATTATGCTAAAAGCAAATAGCCCCAACCCAAGCATCACGCAAACGCGTGAAATACTTTCAACAAAGAGACGTGACTTTGCCCCTTCGAATGAGCAATTGACTCCTCGCCCCCCCAAAACAAACGCGAAAACGAAAGTGCCAAGTAAAAATCCTTCAAAGTCTTCCACGAAAACGACGCTCTTCTTTACCTTTTCATTTTTTCCAATTAGTCATAAAACTCCTTTCAGGGCTTGTCCAAAAAACTGTCATCTTCGATGATAAAAGAGTCATGACCTGTCCTTTCCAATGGGTAATTTGACCCCCGAGACAAACGCCAAGACGAACGCGTCAAGTAAATTGCTTCGAGTCTTCCCATGAAAACGACTGTCTTTGCCTTTATTTTTCCAAATGTTCCAACATCTCCCTTCAGGGCTTGCTCAAGAACTCTCACTTGAACTGAAAATTCTTTGCCACCCTCTATTCGGTTATGGTCCATTCCTTGCTCAATGGCTTTTCCTCACAGAAAGCTTCTGAACCCGAGTCCGGGCCCTAAGCCTCCTAAAAAGCGTGATCTTCCAATGCAACCACCATGCCCTGAAACTCCTAAGGATCCCATTTGGCTACCGCCGCCGCCGCCGCGTCCACCTCCGCCGCCGCCTCCTCTTTCGGAGAACGAAGCCCTCAAGAATCTGCCGAGCATCATGCCTTATGCTCTTGGCTCTGTTCTCCTGGCAGGGCTCCTCTGTTTGATCCTAGGGAAGTACTATCTGAAGCAGAACAGGTCAAGGAGGAGAAGAGACACGCCGATTCTTTTTCATACCCAGCAAGAGTTCTTGGATGAAGACCACGGACCACCCCTAGACCACCCGATATGGTTTATCCGCACGGTCGGCCTCGATCAATCCGTCATCGATTTCATTACGGCTTTCGAGTACAAGAAGGGCGAAGGGCTGATCGACGGGACAGAGTGCTCTGTTTGTCTCGGTGAGTTCGAAGATGGCGAGAATCTCCGGCTTTTGCCTAAGTGTAGTCATGCTTTTCATGTCCCTTGCATTGATACTTGGTTGAGGTCTCATAAGAATTGTCCTCTATGTCGTGCGCCGATAGTCAGAGATGCCAGGAATGGCCACATTAATGTGGATGTGGAAGAGCCTAGACTGAACAATTTGGGCTCTAGGGAAGAGAATATGATGATCGAGAGTCCTGGTAATAGCGAAAACACTCGAGCAAGAGTTGAAAGCAGTGAAAGCGCGGGTCAAGATGACGGAGTTAGCACATCGCATATGGACGGCGGAATAATTTGCGATAATATAAACAAGGTTCCGAGTTTTTGGGGTGGAGAGAGTTGTGAAGTCCTTGTTCCAGGTAATTTGGGTTATGAAGGACATAGAAGGGCCACGGATACAGAGACCGAACCGACAAGACGGTCACTATCGGTGGATATTACCATTTCCCCGGGCGAAGGCAGACAAAAAACTCGGCATAAACAAACAAAGAGTTTGAATTTTAAAGTCGCTGCCAGGCAAGATGCTGAACGTTTTAAAATGCGCAGAGCAGTGAAATTTTCCTCTTTCGGGCAGTCACAAAAGAAGGGACCTGTTCCGATAAACCGCTCACTTTCTTCTGGTGGAAAAGTATGGCCATCTGGACAGACTAGAAACCAGAATGCAGTACATTCATTTTGAAGCTTCCCTCAGAGCTGGTCTTTCAATGCACGGATGTAATTTTAGCACAATGAACAGATAGTTTAGGCATTCACCTTGTTAAAGTTTATTGTCAGTATAAGTTCTTGTCCACACTCTGAAAATGTTACGCCTAAGTCTACTATAATGGATGCATATTGGAGTTCATTACATAGTTTTTTAAGTGTGTTTGTGCGCGAAAGTTCATTCCAATCTGCTATTTGCAGGACTGGAATAGCAATCAGGTCAATTTGGCCAACTTCAACTATTGTACAAATGCAATGTTAAGATAATAATTGACGATGCTTCACAAGACATTTCCTACTTATGGGGGGCAGCTTGAAGACTGACTAAATTAATCGAAGTCCAGCTTGTCACTGAAAGTTTGCACTCATAAGAACCAAAATCTCCTGCATTCTACACCGAGACATAGATAATCACAATAGAGTGGTCTGATCAGTGAAGAGTGTGAGCTTTTCTTTTTTTTTAAAGAAGATGGAGAATTTACAGTTGATCGAGCCGAGTTTGCTCAATCATAACCTAATGGAATAAAGAAAATATGTTGACAGAATTTACTCCGTAGTTCTCCTTAGAATGGGAGCAATTCTTTTGGGATTTGCCTCATGGTGCTAACGCTCTCCATCAACTCGGAGGTTTGCATCCATCCTGAGAGAGGAGGCGTAATCGCCCTTGAACCCGACTAACTTTATTTGCTAGCGCAAGTAAAATATCAGATGGCACCAGCACAATAAGTGCCAACTCAGGGTCCAGGAGGAGCTCGGGGATAAGAATGGACCATGCATGCTCAAGGATCAGAAGGACTAACCCATCTGATATGGTTTCTGCAGTTTGTAGGCTGTAAAACTATATATTTCTGAAAGGTACAATTATAGAGGCTGTAAAACTATCTCGCTCTTACGAGATCATCAAGAGAATGATTGGTATTGGGCTCCTCATGCTTGATCTGATGCTTCGATCACTGTTCCATAAGCTTTTTGCAGTACTCAATCTCCTCACGTTGGCTGCTCTGATCGAGTTCTTCGGTCCCCTGCTACTAATGGCAGGCTTTCCATCTCCAATGCTCAGAGTTTACCGAGAACCAAGCCTCCTAAAGTCTCTTGGCATAAGATCATTTGGTTCTCTAATAATCATCCTGCCCCGGTTTTGCTTGGCTTGCGATGCTTACTAGGTCATTTCCTAATGAGGTGCACAGATTGTGATTGTGTTCTTTGCCGATTTGCTCACATATTTCATGATCACCTTTCATCTCAATTGTTCTCTCACTCTCGAATCATTATGTCCACAGCTGCTTCAATCATGTCTTTTCAATAGAAATATCTTAACACGGCAACTTGAAGCTCAATGGACGGCACAGAATTTCAAAGGGCTAGTCTATTTGAACGGTAGTCAATTAAGTTGGCCCAATGTACATATATGCATCGGATTTGGCGGGCTCGAAATCTTGTCATACACGCTAGTTGTTTCATGAACGTATATGCAGTGTACAAGTCCATTGTACCCATGCTCGTGGAGCTGCTGGTAGGCTGAACAACTTGGATGTTTTGTCACTCTATGACTAGTAATGATGTCTGCAGAACAGAGTTGGGTTGCTTTGTACCATGGATTGCACCTCAAAGTTCATGCAGAGCAGCATTGTGAATGAGTGAAATCTGTCTTTGTCGTGATGTTCGGGAATCGAAAACGGAATTTATTCCGCAGCAATGTTCCCATCAATCTGTTGGTCGGATGTCACTTCGTTCATATCAATCTTCTCAACATGGCTTCGAAACTGGCATCAGTTTTCAATTCTCTCAATTTTCGGATTCCATCAGAGTTTTATACAGTCCAAAAGAAAATAGTAAGTGGATATACCCTGTTTCGGAGAGAGCTGATGCTTGTTGGGTTTGATGAAGTGGGTGATCTAGCCGCAGCAGACGTACCGCAAATTTTTTGGTACATCAGATTCTCGTGTCCATATTTCATAATAATTTCGTGCTCCTTTCAGAGTCAACCCTCGGAGATTTGTTGCTACCGAACGACTTATCATTCCGATTTCCGTGAATTAGGACGGCGAGTTTCGAGCACTAAATCTGTGTCTAACAAGAGCTGAGGGATGCCGATTTCTCAATGCAAGAAAAGCAGCCTTGTATCGCTCTAAAATTTACAAGCAAGCATCGACGTCGCGCCTCATAGGACTCCTAAGTGAGAGACCGCCGCAGCCTTGGCTTCTTGGCCAGGATCCCGACCGGTCGAAGTACCTCGTCGTGGTTTTCCGAAATGGTTAAGCGCTTGATCATATAAACTCGAAAAGGTTCAAGACTCCGGCGAACCTGGTACGCTACCTTAGTAAGTTTCGGCCGTCTCAATGTCCATATCACCCTGATATTCTGATCAATTTACTGCCTGAATTAGGGAAAGAGGACACGTCCGGACGCTCCCATGTGGACCCATGGACAGCAGAAATCAATAAAAGAAGAAGAAGAAGGGGCCACCCACCATCTGATGGGCAAGGACCCAGAAATATAGAGATGAAGATTCCATTCCCTTTTGTCAATGATCATTACGTAATGCCATCCAAATATTCAATTCAATTGAATATTTGAATATGGCAAATATGGCACATTGCCATGGCCACAAGGAACGGGCCAAACTTTTGTCGCCTCTCCAAAAGACAAATCTGGTTAGCGAAATTAAGCAGCTAGTAATGAGCGTACTGCAGCAGATTTGATCAAGATCTTGCTTTTTCCCCTTTCCTTGTCTTGACGTGGCCGAGTACATTTTGTGCCCCCACTTTATGCATTAAATTTTTATTTTGGTCCTAGCGCTAGCAAAAGTCGTTTGTGCAGAAAGAGAGGCAAATTGGAATGAGTAGGAGTTAGGGTTTGTCAAAAAAAAGTCATTGTCATCTGACTTTTGACCCGTTTCTTAAGCAACGTATAGTGTTATGGCCCGGGCTTGCGCACGTGTGGAACGTATTTAGGTGACATTTCCTTGAAATTATTGCATGAGGGAAGAAGAAGACCCTCTTGAAGCCGTAGCTTGTGTATAGGGAAGAAATGAATTTTCGATATCCCAAAGTGGTAAAATGAAATGGGTTTTCTTCGACGCGCATCTTTTCCTTCTATTTCTTTCACTATTCCCATCTAGAAATGTTCGGGAAAACGGGAAATTAGTTCCCTTTTTCGGAGCAATCGCATTGGTGATGGAATGTCTACATGCGCGACGAGGCATCTTTTAAGTAAGTTAGTCTGGATAAGTAGGGGAAGAAGAGGGATTAGTGGTTATAAAAAAGGGCTAATTGCGTGATGATCTGTATTTCATTGCAAGTTCGTTTCTGCTTTCTACTGCAATCTATCATTGATGCAGTATTCATCAATAAACTCCGAGAGGGAAGTCTTTGGCGAATTCACTGGTTCATGAAATCGAAGAGGCGAGCAAAATGGAAAATAATATGCACGTACATAATTTCATCTTTTGCTTTTGTGCTAACCCCATCCCCTAGCACACAAAATCTCTAGGAAAACAATTTCTCAACAAGACCCAAAACTATACCCTAATTTATGCAATGTTTTGGAATTCGGTAAATACTTTTTAAAATGGGCAAAAGAGGAGAAATTAAGTTGAAATAACAATGAAGCCCCCCCTCTCAGTCACTTCTAGCACATAAAGGCAGCTTCTTCTTGGATCCTGCACACCATCTCGTACACAGCAGTTGCAATCTCGTTCACTGAGGTCAGCTGGCAACTATCCTCAACCTGCTTCACAAGCCACACAAACCCAACCTCTAATCAACAATCACATTGTTAGGTACATCAACTCCTGCTAATCAAACTAGATTTTTAGATGACTTTCTTGCTAATTTCTAATTGTGAACAATTTTGATATCGAATCATTATCGGGTAGTCACGGGCGGGGGTCACGATCGGGGTCTCGAAAACGTTTTAGACTAGTCAGCTTGGCTATACACTGATCCTGCCTCTATTGCGGTTTTCTGGACCGGTTTTGCTTGATTCGACTCTGTTTTCTTATCGATTCGATAGAATCTCGGACATCGGTCTGGCGTAGAACGGATGGTTCGCATTGTATTAGTATAGGAGGAGGCTGACCTTGACGCTAAACGAGTACAAGACCATGTGTTGGACCTTGGTGAGGGTGAGGTGGAGAACGCCGAGCCGGAGGGAGTGAAGCCCGACCACCATCTTGAGCAGCTGCTTCGGCCGGTTCCGGGACAGGACCTTGACGTTGGCGTGGCTGTCGACCAGGGTCACCTCCACGTCGGCGACCGCCGGCCGGGCCTCAGGCCCGTGCGAGCCGCCGGGCCGGGTCGAGTACTGCGGGAAGGTGAAGAAGTCGGAGAAGAGGGACGAGAAGTGATCGCCGGGGGCCGGGGCTGACCGGGGGCCGTTGACTTGCTCAGGCTGCCTCTGGGATTTGAGGGATTGGAGGTGCTGCTCAAGCTCCTTCACGAAGTTGATTGCCCCTGCTATTATTGATGCCTGGTCCCCCTATTAGATTAATCAATTTCCAAACAAAAAAAATCTGGAGATTAGCCAAAAAAATCTTTGTATCCAATATTTTTCAACTATATAATAAGAATTTTATTATATAGTATTCCAGCCTTTTGTGAATTAAATAAGATATGGGAGGAAATATGATGAAGTTTTTTTTTTTTCGTGAATCATGCAATCGGTACGGAGGGAGAGAGGCAGAGAACGAACCCTTTGGACGTAGGAAGGAGGCATCATGGAGCGGAGCACGGCGAGGTAATCGTTCATCTGCTTCCGGCGGTTGCGCTCCACCGCAATGTGGGTCATCCTCTGGCTCTCCACCTCGTCCCTGTTCTTCACCACCCTCATCCTCCTCTTCTTCCTCCGCACCGCTGCCGCCGTCGCCGGCGGCGGCGGCGGCGGCGGCGACGCCCCCGCCAGCCCCCCTCCGTCGATGACGTCCCAGCCGTCTCCTTCGACGTTCATCTCGGCTTCAGCCTCGGCGGCGTTCAAGTTCAGGGCCGCCTCGTCGTCTTCGAAGCAGCCGGACCCGGCATGATGAGTCCAAGCCCCGCCGTAACAGCTGAACGGGTCTTGCTGAAACACCACCGTCTCTAAGGCCATTGGAACTCGATCTTCCGGTTCACTTTTCTTCTTTCTTTGGATTGGCGTCAGAAGCAGAGAGAGAGACACAGAGACAGAGACAGAGACAGAGACAGGGTGTGTGTGCTCGAGAGCCGAGATGGGTCTAATGAGGAAGGAGGAAGGAATAAAAAGCGAGGCTCTCGACTCTGTAGGAAATGGAAGTTTTACCTTAAACAGCAAAGTCCTCTTTTCTTGCTCTGTCCGAGTCCGTGTGAGCCTCTGATTGAATCCATGTCTCTGTCTGCGTTTGTTTTTATAGGGGTGAGGCGAGCGTGTGCGATCGTCAGTCACCGTATCCGATGCTCTCTACTTCCCTGAATTCACCTTAAAACTACTCTGTATTTGCAAGCAACTTGACATGACAGCGACATCTCTCTCTCTCTCTCCCCCTCCTGCAATCCCAATCCCACTCGGAACTTTTCGAACACCCGACTAATTCTCATATGATACGGCACCTTTAAATATTGCGGTATAACATGTCGTAAGGGCGCGAGAGCGATGGTGGTGATTGAATTGGATTACTCCGAGCGTGTGATCTGAGAGACCAAAGATTAGACGCCATGAGAGCATGTTTTGGGATTGTGAACAGGACATGGCTTGAGCCAGGAATGCGGACAACACACTGCCAGTGCAACCCCCTTGAATAAGATCGAATCAGATAATGGATGTTGTGTAGTGATATGGCAAGGCGATATTAGGTCGTTCGCATTTTAAGAGTATGAGATATGATGATGTTTATTGTTTAACACATCGCGGCTTTACATAAAGAAAATGAAATGAGAATTTTTAGCATCTCTGAATCTCTTGAGCAGTGATGCTTAGCTTGGATCTCTTGGAAAATTATCCAAAAAGTCCTAAACCAATTGTACAACGATTAATTCAGTCATAAACTTTTCAATTTAGCTAGTTTAGTCCTAAACCTTTTGACCAGTTTAGTCCTAAAAGTAGGACGATCGGTGTCCACGTTGACGATTTCCGGTAAAAATTAGCCAGAAAAACGACATTAGCAAATCATCAAAAGGATTTATGATTAAATTGGCAAATCATCAAAATGTTTCGGACTAAATTAGCAAAATTGAAAAGTTTAGTTCTGAATTGGCCGCCGTACGATAATTTGAGGATTTTTTGGAAAATTATCCCTAATTATCTAGTATGATTTTCTTGCAATAGTTTTTAACCATGAAAAGCGGCATTTCCGCTTCGTTAGGTGTTTGGACAACACTCCACATATTCAAAACTCTACGATCTTCACTGTAGATGTTGTTTCGCCCAACGTCAAACTGTAGATGCACCTACATGTCCATTTCTTATCCATACGTCAAATTCGCGGGGTAAGCTAATTAGCTAGTTTCGGTATTGTAAAAGTTTTTTTCAAAAAATAGAATGCATAAATCCAACGAATATAAGTTCCCAGCACTGATAAAATATCAAATGATAGGAGGAAATTGCGATTGATGGGTAGTTGAGGACTATTTGGCAAATTTTCTACTCTTTCTGTTGAGTATCTGATCTCAAATCTTATATCTAGCACAGACAGTGTAGTGAAAGAGTGGTTTGGATACTCTGGAAAACACTGAAGAGATGGTAAGATGTGATAAAAGAGGAGAAAATGACATCGCAAGTGCCATATATGACATCCGAGATTTTCTTTTTTCGATAATTATATATAAAAAATAAAAAAGGTTAAGTAGCTTGGAATTTTGGATGGCATATGGGTCATTAACTTTTTGAGGTACGGAACGTTAGAAGGAAGATTTTCCGCAACCGTTATCACCCTAGAGTCCGATGTATTAAGATTAAATTGATAAATGTTGACATACACGTTGATGGTGTAGAATAACGGTAGTTGATTTACCCCCATATTAGTTGTAGAAGGGGACCTCCGAAATACTATTGTATGGTTTTCAAGTTTTGATAATTGGATTAATACCACCAAAAATCCCAAACTGGTACACCTGTGACAAATTTACCCCCCGTTAGTTTTCGTTGTATTAAGATTAAATTGATAAATGTTGACATACACGTTGATGGTGTAGAGTAATGGTAGTTGATTTACCCCCATATTAGTTGTAGAAGGGGACCTCCGAAATACTATTGTATGGTTTTCAAGTTTTGATAATTGGATTAATACTACCAAAAATCCCAAATTGGTGCACCTGTGACAAATTTACCCCCTGTTAGTTTTCGTTGAATTTTACAGTCAAATTGTTGAGTTAGATGACACACGACAATTAATTGGTGTACCAGTTTGGGGTTTTACCCTCCGTTTTAGTTTGTGATTTTTCGTGATATTAATCTAATTTAACGAAAATTAACGGAGGATAAATTTATCACAAGTGTACCCGTTTGGAGTTTTTGATGGTCAAAATATTAGTTTGGGGTAATTTATCATATGTGTACCAATTTAGGATTTTTGGTAGTCAAAAAATTAATTTGGGGTAAATTTATTACAGATGTACCAGTTTAGGGTTTTTCGTGGTATAAATCCTTAATAATTTACTAAGTTTAGATTTTCCTAGCATCCAATATTTGTCACTAATAATTTTAGCGAGTTCAAAATATTTTTGTGATTTATCAGTGCTTGGAATGGGCACTGGTTTCCTTATTTACGTACCGATTTGCTAGATATTTTGGTAATTTAATGAAATATCAACTTTAGAAACCATATAGTTGAGCCATTTGTCCCTCTTTAATTTATACCACCTCTCCTCATTTTCCACCAATACTTTAACCCACATGCTCTTAATGACATTGAACTTAGGCTCCGTTCGTTTGGCGAAAAATGTGACATTTTTGGAAAATGTTTTCCAGGAAGTCATTTTCCTGGAAAATGACATAATTTTCCTGTGTTCGGTTGAAATCTGAAAAAGTTTCGGAAAATATTTTCCGGTGTTTGGCGACCGGCGACAGCGGCGGGTGATCAGTGACCGGCAGCAGCGGCCCCGAGGCTGGCGAGGAAAGAAGGAGGCCGGCAGAAAATGTTTTCCGCTTTTCAAAAGAGGAAAACATTTTCGTTACTTTTCTTCATGTTTTCACTTATTGAGGGAAAATGTTTTCCGGGGTTAGTTTATTTTTCGCCCCCGAACACCGGAAAACCCAAGGCCACTGTCGGAGCCTTAGTTTAGTCTTGATATCATAAATTACATCACCTATTTCAACCTTAGCCAATCAATGCTCTTGATGACTCATTCATTTTACTTGGCCAAGAAGCTCTCTTACAAAATATCTCCTATTAGCTAATCTTATTAGGCCACCTCTATCTTTGCAACTCTCACCTAGGGCCACTTGTAACCTAAGGGTTGGAACACATATCTCTCTCCTTTACACATAGTGATTTTAGCCCAAGGTCATTATTACCTTTAACATTGGTATTCTAAGTTCATTCCCCTTAGCCTATAAATATATTTTCTAATATTTTCAAGCTTTAAAAGAATTCCAACTTGTTCTTGCAAAGAAAAAAAAAAAGAGATCTCCCAGCACCTTCCTATTCTATTTTCACTTTCTGATCCTTTGATTTAAAAAGTAAAGATCACATGCTTGTGTTGTTGAATCTTCAAAAAAAATGCCATCTTTCAAGAGTTACAAGGTGATATGGTGGACTTTATTCTCTTCTTAAACTGGTTTTGCTAAAATATTGAAGGTTGTTAATTTTTGTCCTTGTTTATTTTGCTTTGAAAGTGGTTAAGGCTTTGGGTTGTCGAAGTTTCGTTCAAGGTAAGTGAAACTCTAGGGGCTAAGTTAGGTTGATCTACTTAATACTCTTGACTTGATTAGTTAATAGTCGTTAATTTTAGTTTTAGTTGAATTTGATGCCAAGTGAAACCTTTAGGGACTAAGTTAGATTAATCTACTTAGTACTCTTGACTTAATTAGTTGATGTTTGTCAATCTTAGTTTTAGTTAAATTCGTGGCAAGTGTGAGCAAGTCTCATCAGCGGTGTATTGGGATATTATGATGATTTTACTTCTTTTGATGAGTTCTCACATGTCTAAAAAATGTTGGATTGATTTTCGTGAGGTGTGGTAACATGTTGGATGTGAAGTGGTGTGTTGAGATATTGTAACAATTTGACTTGTTCTTACATGCCTAAGGTGTTTGATTGATTTCAGTAATATATTGGATGTCAAAAATGTAAAAATGACAAATATGTGCTTAAAAGTGTTATTTTCATAAATTTTAACTTACCAGCTGCTTATACTCACCTACTGCTTATATACACACGTAAATTTTTATAGTGGTTTGGCTTAAATCAAGCTTACGTTAACTCTTTTCGACTAACAGCCATCAACCGACCGGATTTCACTAGTGATCCTTTGAGAGGTTAAAATGTATCATGTGCTGTTTCTACCTAAAGCTATTAGATCACACTACCAATTCCCTTGCACCACTGCAACACTTCTACACTTCTCAATGGAGATTACAATCAACGAGTCACTCTCGGTAACAATGACCAATTTCCTCAACAAGAGTATGAGGGTCTCTTAATATATATGATGTTTGCATATTTCATACTTCTTTAGCGTATGTCGATCTTCTTATATAGTCTTCAAGATTCAAACCAACAATAAGAAAATCTTGAAGATGATCAATTTAACTGATGAAATAAGTTCCACAATTAAGGGGATCTGGTCGCCATACAATCAAATTTTCCTAGTAATCGTGAGACTTCCATGAATATAGTTGCCTATATTAGGAAATAATCATTCTTGGCTATTTGATTAATAACGGATTAAATTTCTCTCATTATGCATATCTTCGAAATTCTAGCCCTAAGGTTAATTGTCAATATTCATTTACATCATTTCGAAAAGGAATGTCTACGTCTTTATGACATGATGTGTATCAATACACATGTTCTTCTCAAGTCATATAAGGAACTACTTCTATTAGCAACTCGTGAGTCTATCAAGGCTTCCCGCCATTAGATGACTGCGTGCTGACATCCACTTTATCTTCCTGTGTACAAAAACGGCCATATGAATTGTTCACCTTGTCATAGTAATTCAAAGTCCTCACGAACTACCTATTCCTTAACTTGTTCACTTTCATTAAGGTCCTTCTAGTCATCTTTAGTCTTTTACTTCATACTTCGGTTTTCATCAATGGTGATAGAATTATCCTTGTACTCGTTCAATGTGAGACAAGACAACATCTGCATTTATCTATTAACTGATATAACCATATTGTTTTCTCAGCATATGTGACCCCCAGGATGTAGTCGTTGTATATCTAACTAATTTGCAAAAATAGATTTCGTATCATTGATATCTCCAAAATATTTAAAAGATATCTTTAACATCGTTAAAAGAGCCAAATCATGTGAGGAATTTCCAATACTTTCTCACGAATTGATTGATCATATTGCATCAAGCGTGAGTATTAATCTTAAAAGGACGTCGAGTATCATGAGACGCAAGATCCCAACCGTTTAATTTCTCCACCAACATTAACTCTCTCACTTGTGGAAATTTTACTAGCTTAATTTCAGGAATCTTGCTTGATGTCAAAGAGTAAAATAAGATCAATTTGGATCTACTCAACTAGTAATAAAGTCTAGATGACCAAAACAAGAAACAAAATCAAAAGAAAACCTAGTAATGGATGTTTCGTTTTTTATCGTCACATTTTTAAGTTCTCGGTAGTCCATACAAAGTCTCATACTAACATTCTTCTTTTTTACAAATAAGATATGAGCTCCCCAATGTAAAACACTAGGTCAGATGAGACCTTTATCTAAAAGTTCTTGTGTTTTCAGTTCTTTCAATTATATATGACGATATTCAAATTTCACAACCTATACACTAACTTGGCGTCATCTATGATGTGCATCTACAAGTCCTCCAATAACTAGTGCTTGTACGAAACGAAACTCACTTTCAAAACCCCCAAAAGACCTCAGCCAAGATCCGCCGAAAGATCCTCTTGATTGACTAAAAGTATACGCAATGCATGTGTTCATATCTCAACCACAATCAAATCCGTATTCAAACCTAAGCATCTTAATAGGAATCACCTTAGATGTTAGGCTCCATGTATATATATTCTCCATGGTATGATGCATGAATATCAAACCCAATAATGATTCCTTTTAGAACGATTATTTAAACATCTCAAATAGCATAATTAGTGGTGTCCAACGCCGACAATCTGTGCTCCATTGCATGAAGTCGCCTACATTGCTTATCAAATCTACGGCCGTGCTCCTAATCGAGTCCCGACCAATTCGATAACTCTAAGTCTTCTTTTATCAATACATGGTCGAGAGCAAAACAAAAGCACGCATTCATAAATGATGCCTTAACGCATTCATAAATGATACCTTAGGTGCTTCGTGAGATCATTCATGTCACACCATCCAACCAAACCAATCGCTTACGATCTAAGATGAACATGACGATGTCCGGGCACGATTATCTCCCACAAAAGTACCATGATGACGTGATCTGCAGCATCCGAGAAACGACAAGAGAACGCCTTTAGGTGGTGGTGGAAGATCGACGATATTTGCCCCACGTCGAGGAGGTTGAAAAACGTGAAGAGTCCCCAAAAAGAGATCGTGGCGACGGTCATTTCAACCAAAGAAGAGAAGTTTCTACGAGTGCTGTCTTATCTTCCACCCGCACGCCACACAATTGGCAAAGACTTTTGCCGATCTTCTTCATTATTGGGGAATTAATAAGGAGAGGGGCCTAAATGCGTGGGCCTAATCTTGGAAAATCTGGCACCAAATGCGAAGATGCGTGACGGTAAATGTTAAAACCGCGACACTTCATTTGTCGTTTTCAGATCGAGGTAACCAAGGTTGGCGACAAACCCCCCCTTCGTCATTGTACCCTCGTTCGATTAAATTAGCCCCGCAATCGGGAACCATCCCTTAAAGTCGACTCAGTTGATTGGGGCGTCGGGAGGATTTACGGCTCGGAAAATGGAGATCACATGTTCGGATCTCGCCGATCGGACTCAGATTTTTCTAAATGAGACTTGCTTGCACTGGCCATCGGACTTGACCGGTTCATGGACGGCGTTCCATTGACCTCCAAGTGGCGGAGCTCTATGTTCACGCCCTTCGCTCATCGAAAACAAAAAAATTGATAGTCTATTTGGCTCGGTACTATAATACTAGCGTAAGGGATACCGCACGAAAAGAAAAGTTAATATCGCGGGATTCGGTTCAATTCAAGAAGAGAAGTTGCTACGACATCTCGTCCGTTTTTTAGTTAAAATACCATTATTATCAATCTTATGATCACAAAGGGTTTCCTTGACACTTTTGTGTAAAATTTAGAGTTAAAATACGCTTTCGAATTGTTCCATATCAAAGAGAGATCATCTCCGGTGTACAGCTAGTAAAACCCTCCGTGGGATTTCAACCTCAAATTTAGGTCGTGATCGTTTGAGTGAAACTATTTTCCGCGAATCAGCTCTCTAGACTTTCACGCGTTCGGTTTGCCGAAAATGATCAGTCAACGGGAAACCATTTACGGTAAAAAGAAAAATGCACGCTTAAAGTTAAGAAGATGAATTTTCCAACCCGAAAAATGTCTTTTATCACGAAATTTTTTCCGGAACAAATACATTCTTATGTAGAAAAAAAAAGAAACTTCCTAAAATGTCCATGTCATATGCTAACCTCCTACCTACACGTTCACACTTTCGTCCTTTTCCAAAGCCTTCCTACGTCGCCCTCTTTGGGGGGGTCCTTGGAGATCGCTCCCAATCTTCCGAGACATGACCCGTTTCCACGCAAAAGTTCATCAAGCCTAAGTTCACATGAGAGCTACGGCGGTACGAAAAAACCCTTTATTTTATGTCGTTTCGTCCACCACCATGTGCACGGCCAAGACAAAACACGACATGTCCGATGTGGTTGAATAATTCGTTCATCTCCTCCTCCTCCTCCTCCGAATCCCCCCAACCATACGTGCGCGTGACGCAGCTACAATGTCCGAGACTTCAATGATAGAGCAATGAAATAGAAAAAAAACGGAAACGCCGCGGGGCCGCGGAAATTACATTAGACGCCGGTCCGCGCTTAGGTCGCCCTTCGCGAGCTTCCGAAGCGGGAGAAATTGGGAAGAGCGTCGTGGTTCGAGAGCACATATTTTCCGATTTGGGTTTGCGGGTACGTGCAAAATTAGAAGGTGTACTTGATCCAAAGGCTCCGATTTCCCAGCTTTCAAATGGTTTTTAATTTGTACTGGTTTCTCATTCCGTACCTAATTACGGAACTAATACAAATCCTATTCTAATGGTTTTTTCTTTTGGGGGGATTAGTGCAGATTAGCTGTCTCGTTGACATGGAAAATGAATCGCTCGAACGTCAATCGGGCGGTTCGATTGGGGCGCGCAAAGTCTTGAGCCATTGAAAGTATTTGCCTCGAAATAATATGTTTGACAAAACATTTTTTTTTTATTAATTTAAGCTCGTCTCACGTGGCATACTATTTACGATCGTCTCATGCGCAAGGAGCTGGAGAATCCAATGAATAAGAAGAGGCAAGGGGAAAGATTTGATCACAAAAAAGGGAGAGATCAGAAGTCATTATCTGACCATAATCTTGCCACTAATCATTGTGCTGTCTTTGCATGGATGACTTGATGACCTCACCAAAGTCACTGGATGCATGGGAGTCTTCTATATCCATCTTTGTAAGCACTTTTTTGGTGTATGGTATTGCTTTTAATCTCCTTTCTCTATATTCGGTTAGTGCAATTAGACCCGATCAATGGGCGGCCCCCCGACCACCATATTTCGCGCCCGAAAGTCCTCGTGCTGGTGATTTTTATTCATGAAATGATCGGGGCTTGAGTGGGCCTCAGCGGACCTGCGTCGGCTAGCTTTGGCCCGAGAGGGAAGATCGGTTGCGTAGACCACCATTCTGATTTGTGCTTTGAGACTCGTTGATTTGGGTGGGGCCCAGTGGGCCGCCACGCCCGCGATCAAGTCCGCGCGCAACATACACGGTACCCTTTCTATTTTGAAGTAGAATGTATATTCAAGATCTTAATACCGTAACCTCCAAATATGTGCGATTTTAACGAGTAATGCTGGGTGATCTGCTTAGGGTTGATGCGTGGAGTTGGTATACCAGGCGACGAGAGGATTTCCTACGCGGGTGTTAAGACTGTTTAGAGGGCCGCATGGCGATTTGCATATCACTTAGCGTATCAATTTCAATCGACGCAGCATCATTCATTCTTTCTTATTCTCTTGTTTTCATTTCCACGGTCACAACAAAATATTATGAGTTCAAGGACAAAATCCGGAGACTGTCATGACATGGGATTTTGGGCCTTGGGCTTTCTCCGTGCCAAGTTGGGCCACGGTAGGCCCAAAACTCCACTTCCTCCCACGCAAGAGATATATGTTCCAAATTAGGGTTAGGGTTTCAGGGTCTCTCTCTCTCTCTCTCACTCTTCTTCCTCCGCGAGCCGACCGAAGCTGCTTCACTCCATCACCCCGGGAGCGAAAATGGTGAAGGGACGCCAAGGAGAGCGCGTCAGGTCGCCCATCTGCGTGCTTCCATTTGCGATTTCTTCTTCCAATCGATCCGTCTGTGGTCGGATTTGATTCGGCTGCTCGCGTGTGCGCTTATTGTGTTCCCTGTTGTGCGTTCTTTGCAGGCTCTACGTGAGGGGGACGGTCCTCGGATACAAGAGGTAAGCGGCGAATTCGAATTGAGGGGTTTATTGGGTTTTGAGGTTGGAGGATCTTCTTGCATAGGTTGCATTGGGTTTCGATCTTTTGCTCTGTTGGGCACTCACGTCAGCGAGTTTGTAAGGAAGAAATGAAATGAATCTGTTCTTTTAGCTTTGGGATCCGGCTCTAGCTTCGGGAGATGAAGATGATTCCGCAAGTTCTGATCTTTTGTATAGTTTGCAACAGAAGTGGCCAATGTAGTAGTAGCTTTGCTCTCTTTTTCTGCTCCATTATTTTCCCCATTCAGAATAATATGTATACTTCCTGTACTGGAGGCTTTATTAACAATTAGCTTTAAAAGATGAAGAAGAAAAAATGAATAGCAAAGAGAGTTTCCTGTTTCTTAATATTCTGGATGATGCAAGTATGTAGTTTAAATTGGAAGCCGCGAGGTTTTGTGCTTATGGCGCTTATGGAGATTTGTTATTGGGATATTTTGTGGCTGAGTATTGGGTAATGCGGTGGTTGAAATAGGTCGAAGTCAAACCAGTACCCAAGCACGTCATTGATCCAGGTCGAGGGAGTGAACACCCAAGAGGAGGTGGCATGGTACTGCGGCAAACGCTTGGCTTACATCTACAAGGCCAAGGTGAAGAAGGACGGTTCGCACTACCGATGCATCTGGGGAAAGGTCACTAGACCTCATGGTAACAGTGGCGTTGTTCGTGCTAAATTCAAGTCCAACTTGCCTCCCAAATCCATGGTATGAAGTGATGCTTAATTCAATCATGTCTTGTTAGAAAACAATTTTGATTCTTATGTTTAATGAAATTTGCCTTCTCTGCAGGGAGCAAGAGTCAGAGTCTTCATGTATCCCAGCAACATATGAGGTAAATCTATTAGCTGTTTGCGTATTACATCAGTGTATTTAATTTTGAACACCCACTTCCCTCCTCTGATCCTGAATCGTGTCTGCCCTTACTATATGTATTCAATTGGAAACTTGCTGATGGCATTTTGTGTGGACATGGAAGCACTTGGATTTTTTAAGATTAAATGTATTGTTTTGTTTTCAGCGCCTGATTAATTTTTTGATGTTATCTTGGAGGATTTGAGCTGCTTGTCTTGATACTGAAACTAGCATATTATACTATACCGAACTATGAGTAAGTGTATTTCAACTAAAATGACCTTGTGTGTGTGTGTGTGTGTGTGTGTGTGTGTTGTTCTTTTTTTATAGTTTTACATGTACAAACATGGTGTTTTTAAACTATTTTTTGTTATTGAAACTTTTGGGTTTATTATTGTTAAATCTTTTTTTTTTTTTATCTTTTTGTAATATTTGGGATAAAGACACCACAAGTGCCATAACTTTTATACGACACTCAATTGAGTGTCATTTTTTTATCACTTGAGTGCCACATTGGTGAAAAATCATTCACTTGAGTGCCTACTTTGGCTATTCGTGCTACATGGTTAAATTAAATTAAAAAATGACTCCTCGTGACCTTTCGAAAAGAAATTCAAGTCCAATGTGTACAATCTTCGATTGACGTGGCAAAAAAGGGCCAAAATTTTCCCTAAATGAACTCTCCATCTTCACAATTCTAGAAAAGAGTTTGAAATCTTGTCTCTAGTAAGCAAATAAGTGATTTGTGTGTGGCAAGGGATTGGGGATCCATGACTCAACCATCAGGAGAAGAACCTTCAAAACATACCTAGGAACGGGAAAGTCGAATTTTTTTCAAGGAAATTTAAGGGAGTTAAGGTTTTTTACGATTTGGGAATGGGGCTTGGGTATAAAAAGGGAAAGTTCTGACAGGAAAAGAGGACCGCCCGAGGCCGAGCGCTTCCCTCTTAAGCAATGAGGAAGCGTGGTATTCCACAGAGAGAGGGTATTCGTGGCGCACGGTATCGTGCGACGGGCGCACATTAGCAAACCTTGGGGGCTTCCATGGCCGCTCTGCTGCTCTAGTTCTTGCAGCTGAGCGATGGGGTTTCGCCCTACATTAAAAAAAATAAAAAAACTTGCCTCTTGTTTTGGCTCCTCTCGATTTCGCATCTTGTGTTGAATCTTGATTCTGTCTTTTCTGGCGCCTTTTCAATGTTGTTTGTTGAATGCAAATCTTTTCCTATGCTTTTGATATTTTTTAGGCGAATAATGATTCACCTTTGAAAGCTGCTCTGCAATTTCATTTTGCTATACGTTCTTTGCAAATTTGATCAATTGAGGCAAATATGAACGAACGCTCTTACACATTCTAACTATGCTTTCCTGTTCCTGTCGTCTTTTCGCAGTTCCTGCTTCCCAGGGGGCATCTGAATCCCAGCTTCGCGAAGGTTGATTTGGAGGACCTACATAGACATGTAGCTAAAGTGAAAGTGATTCTTCTGAATTCATTAGGAGAACGATGTGTCTGCGTATTTATTTTCGAAATTGTCGAATTGTTTACTAGTTGTATTGGATCAGATACCGATTTTGACAGATGCACATTACGCTTGGGTGCCGGTTTGGTTTTCTTTCAGGCTGCTTTTAACATTGCTCTGAGAAACTCTATCGCGGACATAGTTGAATTCTGGGCATTACGTTTGTTTGCCGTCAAAACACTCCTCTTTACCATCTGTGTCCATCGGCGATGGAATGCCATTGCAACAGTGGCGGCAGCGGCTGTGGGTACACATGTCAACGCGTCGCAGATGGTGGAGAGAGAGAGTACAATGGCAGAGTGTTATTGATGTTTAATCTTAATCATCCGGTCGTATTTTTGAATGTGTAGGAGGAAGAGGAGGGAGAGTGTAGAATTGATGCTATATGAAAATATAGTCTCCATCTTTTTATTCCTTTCGAGAGGACCCTTAAATGCTTATGCTATGTGAAAATACGATGCGTCTAGTTCTAATTCTAATTATTTCTTTTTCATTTTTCATTGCTTTGTTTTTCTAATTGCATGTATCAAGTTAATTCGAATTTTAAGACATACCCAATCAATATGTATTTGATGTGTATACTTAGTTGTTATTTTTTGTCATCACTTAGAATTTAATTTTCTTTAAATTAACATATGAAAGTTAAATAAGTACCATGAGTGTTTTGTAACGCTTATTATGAAGGCGAGATGAACATTATCATCACGATAATGCCAAATTAAACTCCAATGAAAGAATAAATTCTTGCTATACGATATGTTTGACCATCAGAGAATTAACATACTAACCAAGTTGACATCATATTATTTGGCTTTGCTATTTTAAATTAGGGAAAATGACGCAAACAATCCCTCAATTTTGGTCTAATGTCCAATTTGGTCCCTGAACTTTTAATTTGTTCAATGTAGTCCATGAATTTTTTCCAAATATTCAATGTGGTCCATAAATTTTGAATTTGTTTAATGTGGTCCCTAAATTTTTGGTACATGTTCCATTTAGTCCCTGAACTAGATGAAAATGTTCAATGTGGACTAAATAGAACATGTATCAAAGTCCAGGGACCATATTAAACAAATTCAAAGTTCAGGGATCAAATTGAACATTAGACTAAAGTTTAGAAACTACATTGAACAAATTAAAAGTTTAGAGATCAAATTACATATTGAGCCAAAGTTCAGAGACTGTTTGTGTCATTATTCCTTTAAATTATCGTTTCGTATACGTGGTTCTCTCTATACTTTGCAAGCATGGTTGAGAGAATTGAAATGATCAATGGCTGTCTCATTTTGTTTAAAGTACATATGTTTTCTAATTTGAGACCTCTAAGAATGATCTGGTTCATAATATTTCTCAAGTTAAACTATCACGTTTATGGCTCTATCATCATTATATTTAAGCTATATCTTAAGAAAAAGTATGACTGGAATATGTTAATAAAAAATTGATTATGCGCAGCAAAATTCGGGTATGTTGCTGTTTGAAAGACACTAAATCCTTTTTGGTAATAGGTCTCATAAATGATTATGTGCGGCGAAGTGCGACCATCAAATATTTACGTGATCATAAGGTCATATAAATTAAAGTGCAGTTACGAAATTTGACACTTATAATTTATATGTGTCAAAGTTTCTATCTAAGTTCTTAAATAAAATAATTTTAACAATATTGATAATGATTGCATGTGAATATGTCTTATAAATGATCGTGAATTTACTATTTGCACACAAGACACATAATTTATTAATTATTTATTTTTTTACTAGTCGAGTCATTGAAGAATTTAGAGTTAATATAGGATATAATTTAAAAATTTATTCCCTTGATTTGATTTTGTCAAACATGGATGGCCCCGGAATTAATGATTTTAATAAGTTGTCAAACTCTAAATTTGACACATATTTTTCCACATAAAAGTAATTTTAGAGTTATATTTTTATTGATTGATACAAGGGCCTTCTGATATCTTAATATACGAATATAAAATTGTCTAAACTTTACTTCGAAAAAGGTTTTTAGATAAACTGACATTTTATAGAGAGTGCTACAAATGTTAGAAAATTAAAAATGATAAAGTAAGCTACAATATCAAATTGTTAGTGTAACAAAAAGGATTGATAATGTCGTGATTGTTAAATCTTTTTATCCAGCGAAAATGCACATGTTAATATTCTACTTAATTTATAGTCTAATTTCATTTCTTGTGACCAAAGGCACTATTAACCGACTCCTTTCATAGTACAATGGGTTGTCTGAATTCTCGATTGCTCCGGCTTGTTATATCAGATCATGCTGCAATTTGCTGGAAAAAGCAGACAGTTTGTAACAAATGGATCAGTCTAAAGAGGACTCATAACGTCGATATGCATGAGATTAGTCTATGTGATCAAACTACAGTAACACATGATGTCATGTCTAAACTTGTACTGCTCACTCAAAAACGGACAGAATTTGACCCTCGCGGAGTGTCGATCAAAGAGCGTCTCCCATTTGGTTGGACTCCATTTCATCGAGCAAGTTTTCTAGTCTATGAAGTGACTTTACGCGTCATGACAGGTAGTGCGAGCTAAACCAATCACACCAAAAATTGATCTTGAGGTCCGATAACTACCGACAAGTTGTTAATGCGAGGGGCATCACTGTTATTGAAGTCATTATTCAGACATTGTGATTGTAAGTTATCCAAAGGAAGATTAGCAGATAGCAGATACTCACATTGCAGCAGGAGAAAGAATCGTGCGACCTGTGAATGATCCTGTCAAAATCTGAGGCTGTAATCTCTTCTCAACAATATACAATGACATTCCCAAGCAAAAGAGAAAAAAACAAAGAATAGACAAAATTTCTTTCCTATACCGAACTTTGTGCAAACAAACTCAGATCGATCGTCTATAACCATTTTCTATATACCAATATGTAAATTCTCTTGACTATCTGACCGATAGTGAAGTAACCTATGAAGAGCACAACCAGAAATCCAAAATATGATAAGGGAAGTCGGACAAACCCCATGATGGAACCGATTCCAGTGCATGGAATCGCTATCCCGATCGCCGAAATTACGACTGTCGACAAAACCACGGGCCATGATGCAATCTCCTGGATGAACGGGATCTTTTCCGTTCTAATCAAGTGAATGATGAGCGTCTGCATGAGCAGGCCTTCGACGAACCACCCGGAGCGGAAGAAATCTTCTGTGTCAACTAGATCAGCTCTGTAGTAGAACCAAAGAAACAGTAGTGCGGTCACATCACACACTGTACATACAGGGCCATTCCATAATATGAACATCGGTAAACCTTTCCGAGACCATCTCTGTGGGGTTTTCACATAATCTTCCTCCATTTTGTCCCATGGGATAGCAATTTGGCCAACACTGTACAAGAAATTCTGTACAAGGAGTTGCTTAGGAGTCAATGGCTCGAATTGGAGGAAAAGAGTCGCTATAAGGAGGGAGAGAACGCTTCCTACATTTGCAATCACGGACATCTTTATGTACTTCATTGTGTTTCCGTAAGTCATTCTTCCCCTCACAACTCCTGCGACTAGGACATTTAGATCTTTCTCGAGCAATATGATTTCCGAATAGTCTTTAGCAACCGATGCCCCTGAATCCACGGAAATGCCGACATTGGCTGCATCGAGCGCAAGTGAGTCGTTGATTCCATCTCCTAGGAAACCAACCACATGGTTTCCCACAGTTTGCAAGGACTGGACAACACGAAGTTTTTGCGTGGGGGTGAGCCGGGCAAGCACGGTCGCCCTTTGAACCGTTTCGTGGAAGGATTCTTGGTTAAGTAGCTCCAGATCAGGTCCCGTTATCACATGGGTAGTTCTGATGCCGACTTCCTGGCAAACCTTTATTGCCAGAGCAAGCGAGTCACCAGTTAGTACTTTGGCTTTTACTCCCTTCTCAGCTAACCGCCACAATGCTTGCTTAGCCGAGTCCTTTGGTGGGTCGTAGAATGTTACAAGGCCAAGGAACACCATGTCTGATTCTGTTATCTCATCATCATCCTTACTCTGACCAATTCTATTCTGCAACAGGAGAAGTAGGCGATCAGTAAAAGAAAGTTACGATGTAAAAAACAACAAACAGGAAAGATACTTCAGCACCAAGCTTTTTTTCCCTCTATAGGCATACGATCATCTACTCCTCAGAGCTTAATATTGATGATTTGGGACAAACTATGTTGTCAAGGTGAGAACATTTACAGGGGAATATAGCAGTATGGTTGAAGACAGAGCTTGAAAAGAGTATAACACTGCTAGCAGAGGACCACCGGCATGTTTTTTGGTACTTTTATTTGTCTACCGTTTGAGTATCGTGAAATTTTTTATCACATGTTGATTCATTAGGATGGCAAAAAGAAATGTTGATTACAAAAGTGATGAAGAACAAAATACTTTCGCGGATCTCAGTATGTAGTTTAGTAAGGTATGCTTTTACAAGAAGAGGTTAATGAGAAAGAATGATGAGAAGATGGATGATGGAAAATCCGGCCAAGATTAAACCCACACCAGAGCCACTAATAACAGTGGCCACCATTTATTGGGAAAATGTGCAATAGTAGTGCATTACGTCATCAGATAATGGCTGTCCACCACTTGTCGAGGAGACGCGCTTTTTTTCCCTCTATAGGCATACGATCATCTACTCCTCAGAGCTTAATATTGATGATTTGGGACAAACTATGTTGTCAAGGTGAGAACATTTACAGGGGAATATAGCAGTATGGTTGAAGACAGAGCTTGAAAAGAGTATAACACTGCTAGCAGAGGACCACCGGCATGTTTTTTGGTACTTTTATTTGTCTACCGTTTGAGTATCGTGAAATTTTTTATCACATGTTGATTCATTAGGATGGCAAAAAGAAATGTTGATTACAAAAGTGATGAAGAACAAAATACTTTCGCGGATCTCAGTATGTAGTTTAGTAAGGTATGCTTTTACAAGAAGAGGTTAATGAGAAAGAATGATGAGAAGATGGATGATGGAAAATCCGGCCAAGATTAAACCCACACCAGAGCCACTAATAACAGTGGCCACCATTTATTGGGAAAATGTGCAATAGTAGTGCATTACGTCATCAGATAATGGCTGTCCACCACTTGTCGAGGAGACGCAAGGACAAGCATGTCTAGATGCACCATATACTTTTACCATCACAGATACGACTTTTATCATCAGAAATCCGGTTCCTCTAATTATTTGCACTCAATGTAAAGAGATAAGGAGCATATAACAATTAACAGCTACATATAAATTTCTTAACGGAGAATCAGTCAAACAGATCATGGCATGCTTCAACCACAAGACCGGGTTATAGGTGCACAGAAATCAGAAGTACCTAACAGGGTCACACTTATATACCTATTTCACTCTCAATACATCTGTGTGCCACTGCCGGAACGTCTAAGTGACTCCAAAAATAAAATTCTTTTAAACCAATATCTGCCACAAGTCATACATACTATTTTTGTCGCATTTCTTCTTCCATCTAATTTGCTGATATTTCTTGATCAGCTTAGATTTATTTCGGGATGAAACAACATATTATGTTCTGAGCAAGTGAATGACCTAACACATAAATAATGTTCAAACTTTGAGCAAGTGAGCAACTACTAAAAAGAACTCATATAATGTAGGTTCTACACTGTTGCTGCACTTGTAAGATGGACGAATGTCAACTCAAGAGTTGTGAATCTGAAACACTTCCCTTTTAATGTGTTAAATTCAAATATTAAGGACAATTTTCAGCAAGCAACTCCTTTACCCAAAAACCTCCTAAAAAGATGCTACTTGAATCTGGGAGACCGCTAGTGAAGCCTTATCTAATAATGCAATAGAAGCAGAGTCGTTACCATTGTATCGAAACTAATACAGGCAAAAAAGAAAATTCAAGTGAGGTAATAGTGCACCTCAGATTCAAAAGGATGGAGGTAAACTTATACGGACCTTTGTTAGCCTCTTTACTGCAACTCCAATTATTCTTAGTCCTTCATTACTTAACTCTTCTCCCAAATTCAAAATCTGCTGATATTCTTCGGCAGAAAATGCTGCAGTAGAACCACTATCAATTTTCTCAATAAATGAACAAACTTTCATCACTTCTTCTAGTGCTCCTTTTGTTACCATAAATCTATCACTGCTCTTGCTTTTGCTGTCTCTTGAATTTGATTCAATTTCTAAAATAACAGATACGCGTCTACGTATAAAATCAAAAGGGATCTCATCGACCTTTGTCCACTGGGATGGCTGAAACCTGTAGCCATTTGTGTAGACATATGCCAATATTGCATCATCAAGAGGATACTTCTGATCAGTCTTGAAGTAAGAGTTAAGAAAGGCAAATTGTAAGACTTTTTCTCTCTTTACACCCCAGCAATCAAGATGGTCAACCATGATTGCCCGATTCATGGTAAGTGTACCAGTCTTGTCAATGCATAAGATATCCCTGATGGCAGGAAAGAAAAGCATAACAGTCAAGTTTTTTATAATAAAGACATCAAATGCGGGGTACTACAAACAGATAGACTCAAAAAAATCAGGTACCATAAGCTGAAAGCAAATTATATCTGGAGCTATATCAATTCAGCTCACATTCACAAGCAGTGTCCTATAATCAATTTTTGGGCTCAACAGTCTGATTGTAAAACATTTGGAAATTCTTTTCAACTTTATTAGAGACTCGAGTATCCTCCACAACTAAAGGACAGAAAATTCTCCAACTAACACCCAAAGAGAAGATTTGTTGCATCAGCCAACTACCCACAACTATGGAAAACTCTTTAAAGGCTACTTCTTGGTTAAATCGAGAATCCATCTGAAAAGCTAAACTGACATCTGATAGTTGCGACACACCATTCAAATTGGCCTTCCATATACAGATAGAATATTTCAAAAGACACAACTGAGATTTTTTCAGTCTTGACTTTGACATCCTGAGTGGCTGACTAATTATCTTATCCTTAGTTGCTTGTTGAATGAAGAACTGTGCTTACTTCTTTCTCTCTGAAATTCATAATGAAGCTGCTCTTTTCTGGGGGAAATATTCATATTATAAACTGTACAACCAAGAGATGGTGTAGATGCCACAGACATGTCCCACCATGCAACTAGAATTAGCTACTACCGTAAAGCTGAAAATAGTTAGCTTGACAAAATTGACAGCTGGATGAACTAAAGAACGTAAAAGCCTAATACTGGAGAGGGAAATAAGTGAAGTTCTCCAGATACGAAATATAGGGAGATGTCTATTAACTGTCCCACCAGGACCTACCCCACAACCTAGAGTAACTAGGTGGTGAAGTAAAATTAATCCTTGTTCAAACATGGGCACTTAACCCAGACACTAAAACGGAAGAATGTTCCATATTATTGAAAACGCAATTGAGAAAAGTGTGAGTGCTTGTGTGATCCTCACTCGTTGCGCAGTTGATCTATCTCTCTCCTTATGTTGACGTGCTTGCATGCCGCCTACTGGTTGACTGCAAGTGTGCACATTTGTCTGTTTGAAAAATTAGGAAAACTTTGACAAGTTGCCCCCTATTTTACTGTAGTTCAACAGAGAGTCCACATTGTCAGAAGTCTCAGCTGCCCCCCTGGTCAGAGGCGTGGGTCCTAGAAAGATCTCTAGAAGCAGGAGTGCTTGTTCAATTTCACCAAAGGAGGTGGCCATAACTTCCTAAAAAAATGACACTGGATATACACAGGGTGTTCATAAAGTTATCGCAAGAGAATATAAGGCCTTCTGAGTAATATAAGGTGTCATGACAAAGGTGCCTGAATTTTCTAAGTAAAGCATGCATGTTTACGAGTACTTATGCACATGCAGAATGCTGCTAATTCAACACTTACATGGATCCCATATCTCGTATGGCGGTTATACTTTTGACAACGCATCTGTCCTCGGCCATAGCGAGCGCTCCTTTGGCAAGACTTGTGTTAACTATCAGTGGAAGCATTTGAGGGGTCAATGCACATGCCACAGAAAGTCCAAAAAGGATGCTGTCACTCAGTTGGTTAGATGTGAGGTACTCTGCTAAGATTATGATAATGACAACTAACAGCATTACACCGATAAGAACATAAGATATTCTCCGCACGCCCATCTCAAAGTCATCTGGAGGCTTTCGCTTCCCAATGTTTGAAAATATTGTGCTCATATAAGTTTTGGATCCAGTTGAAATGACTAGGCCAGTTCCACTTCCTGACACCACATTTGTTCCCTGTACAATGCACATTTGACCATATTTGCTGAACAAGCATAGTAAGAAATATTTCAAACAAAAAAGGATCCATAAATGAGAACGTTTATGAAAATCACCAAGAAGTAGGCCTCAAATAACCAGCACAAATGGCAGTATTCAATGAAACTCATGCAATTTTTAATCTTTCTCAGCATGCACTATGTAATGCTTAGATCTACTGCGATAATATAGACATACACCTAAATCCTTATCCAGCAGACCCAATTTATATCTTGGATCAATTGAACTGCCAGAAGCTATGATTCTTTTGACTATCATAAAATCTCCCCTCCCCCCCCCCCCAAAAAAAAAAACCCAAATTGAACAGTTACCTACCATGAAACATATATTTCTCAAGTCAAGTAGGGGAGTGCCCTGATTTTCCTTGATATCAGCCATCTTGTCCGTTGTTCCTGACTCACCTGTTAATGAGGACTGACTGTGCAAAAATCAGTGTGTGACCATGGGATCAACCAGTGCCCGTAAAACTACAGAAAGAGATGACTTGAAAGGACTGAGAAACTGTCGCTCACATGCCCAAGGAAATTTTCTAGGTGCCATACCTGACTACAAGGTGCTTTGAGGATAATAGGCGCACATCACCAGGAAATAGGTCCCCCGGTTCAAAAATGACAATATCACCAGGAACAACATCCTTTTGATCAACTTGAACTATTAATTCAGTCTGCTCAACTCTGCCAGCACATCTTTGAACTTTAATGGGGCATCTGACAAATTCGGAAAGTTTCATAGCTGCTTTTGAACTGCTGTGTTCCTGATAGGAACCAGAGTGGATAAAATTGATATTGAGGCTTAAAGTACCTTATGAGAGTGCATATTAAGCGATAATTACCTGATAAAATCGAAGGGAGACACTTATGAAGACCAATGCTAGCATGATACATCCGTTATAATTATCACTGGTTATGTATGAGAGTACTGACAAGACAATCAAAATGATATTGAACGGATGAAAGAAAGCATTCCACAGGAGATGCCACCAACTCGGAAAAGTATATTCAAGAGGAGCATTGGGACCATTTTCTCTCAGTCTCCTCTCTGCTTCAGTGAAGCTCAACCCTGAAAAAAATAATCAAAAATAGTTTGCGTCCTTATGGAACATACAAAGGCACAAAACACACTATGCATAGAAAAAGAAATAATCAAAAACTCAAACACAATGATCTTCTGTTAACCTGGCAGTGTCTATACTTTAATTTTTTAATATATACTTCTTGTTTCCTAAGCCTCTCATGATGTGCTGCTAATTCTTTTTTCTTAAAGGTATGAGGGCAACCATGCCTCCCTAAGTGTGACCATTAGAGCCTTGATCCTGCAACCAGTAAACTTAACTTGAAAAGACTCAGCTTGAAACAGGTCTATCGAGAGAGATTTGAAGAAACTAATGCAGACATGATAAGTACCTTCTTCTCACCTGCGCTAACAGTTGAACAATAATTATTCTACAGATAATTCATCGCTAAACCCTAGGAAGTAGCAACACCAAGATTTAGCACTGTCCAGTCTGGAGAAGGACCAGCTGATATTTTCTTGGTAAAAATTGCAACGGTTGCCTCATTTAGGCCAGCTAATAAAAGTGTCCGACATCTAACCTTAACAGCTTGGTCACAGCCATAGCCACTCTTACATCCTTTATCTTGAGTGTTAGTCTACATCAAGGAACTCTGGTGTTCATGTCCCTTTTCTTTTTGCATCTTATGTTCTTTATCATCAAAATCTCTTTGCTTTGTCCCTAACCATGTATACATCTAATTCTGGTCAATTAAGGATGTCTAGCAAAGTGTAATCAGATTGCAAAAATGACTGAATGTAACTTCTAAGCAATATAGAAAAATTTTCGTTTATCATCCTCAACTGCCAGTCTTATGACACTAGGAGTTTTTTGCATTTTTGAAATTTTACTTTACATCCTCAACCTTTATTGTTTCTTGTTTCTCAACTCTTAAAACCTGCCATTCTCAAAAATAGTTCTGTACACTTACACAAATTAACAAAAACGCAAACTGGGATTTCACAATCACAAGTAGGCATGCATGTGCATCAAACCGTCAGCATGCACCTCCTCAATTACCACTACCAGCAACTCTCTCTCTATCTTCAAGCAACCAACCACTACGAGCATCATCGTATATTTATAAACAAAATTTGCTTGTGAAGAAACATTTTCTCTGGATGGATGATTTAGTGCTTTTGACAGGAAAAAAAAAATTTAAAGATGTTATTGTGAGTGGGCATAGGCTTACTTATGATAAGAGAAGTGCCATAATTTGGAGTAAATCTCAATTTTCCTGTTTGGCTTCTATGTGAAAAAGAGAGAGGTGGAAAGAAGCGATGGCTTGTAACATCCCATGATAGCAAACTGGTGGTGGTGCGTACAGTGCAGACACCAGGAAATAAATTATTATTTCTTTTGGCCAGAGGAAAATAGGTTGGCTGACTAGCTGATTGTAATTAATCTTCTTTTGGTTAGTTGCTCTCTAAAATTGTCTGTCAGATTGCTGAGAAAACAAGATCGACATGAGTCGACAATTTAATCTGATGGTGAACTAGTAATTCGGTTTTCTTGAGGTTATGACGGAGAAGAGTACCCCGCCTCCCTCTTCTGGGGGATTTTCATCCATTAGGAGAGCAGAGCTTTGCACAATTTTGGTTCTCCTGTTGCATAGGATGAGGGAACTTTTGCTTTGGAAACAGAGTTGGGGAAGATGGTTTTAAGGGAAGAATCAACATATAATGATCTCATTAACTCAATGATTCAAAGAGTAATTTGCAAGAAGAGAGGAAAGCGAAACTAAACCTATAATGCAGGATGTAATCACAGTATCCCCTTTTAGATAAGCTCAATCAACTTTAATTCTGTTTCATAATATTGCTTTTGTCTGATAAATGTCAACCAATAGCTCTGCAGGGATGTGAAAGTTGGCTATTGTTGGTAATTGGTGGCAACATAAAAGGAATGGATGCTGCAGAGATTGCTCAATTATCCTACAGTTGTGTCGATATATGCCTCTGCAAAATGCAGGTCATTTTAAAAAGATAGCGAATGTCCTCAATGAGAATGGTCTCTTAAGATGCAGTATCGAAATAAGCATGAGTAGCACTGCACAGCATACTCACACCTATTGTCATGGTCCAGGCCGTTTGGATTGGGACTCTCACAGGTGTTGACACCTGTACAAGTGCCACCTATATAAAGCTATCACATGGTTTATGTGGTGAAAGTTAATAGCAAAGCTCAAGTTGTGAAGTTCCTGAATTAGAATTCTATCTTCCAAATCAAATTTACTCTCTGGAAAAGGGAAAAAAACCAATTGAGAAGGGCTTAAGAGTTCGCAAATGAACACTGTACGCTATTTGCATGACCTTCTCCCTCTTGAGCCAAATGACTATATCAATGTGTATGTCCTCATCCAATAATAGTCAGGCCCAATAAATCTATGACTTATTCTAACCAATTCGTTTGTAACTGAAAGAAATGACACCAAGCCTCTCGAATAATGGTCATTTCAACTTCTAAAGTAATATGCAGTAGACATATTAGTTCCGAATGAACTCAGAAGGAAGAAAAGAACAGATATGGAAATTACATCAAAAGTCAAATTGATACGAGCATCAATTGAAAAGATGTAGTTGACATTTTTCAAGAAATCTACAAAATGATGTTGTGACCGATTTCTGAAAGATCATAGGAAGCGGAGAAGGAAAGCAGCCAAACCAGCCAGAGTACCTAAGCTGCTACTTGTTTGCCTTCAAGTTCCGTAATTTAAAGAAACTAAAGTCCCAAAATTTCGACAAATACAATTCGACTACACCTTTCATCAAACAGGTGGCACAATACCAATCTCGGCCCAAAGGTACCGCTATCAACCTAAACCGCAGTCCTCAAAGTCGAAACACAAATGAAGCGCTAGGAAATCTTACTCACTCACCTCTTTCGGTGGATTGAACATACTCGAAGACCATGTCCTTGTCCGACTGCGCCAATGCATATAACCAAGAATACACTTTCTCTTCCTCCTCCGTCCTTGACCCGCCATCGATTTGATCTACAAAGACCCGCCGAAAATCAGCCTCGCCCCACCCTTTCCCAAACCCGGAGACCCGGAACAGAACAAAAACAAAACCGGATTAGCTCGAAACTCACTTCCGGACATGAACCGCCGCAAAAACCTGGCGACCATGTGGGGAATCCCGTCCTCGCGAGGCGGGGGCTCCCTCCGGACGAGGCCATCCTCGATGGCGTTGCTGTTGCGGCCGTCAACGTCGGGAGCGAGGAACGGGAGGGTGGTTCTGGGCCGCCCCATAAGAGCAATCTGGGGTTGGCTGAAATGTGGGTACACACATATAGGGGCGTAGACTGTGTCTGACTTTGAGGTGGAGCAACGGAATTCATGGTTTTTGAAGGTTTGACAAGAAGGTATAGAGAGAGAGAGAGAGAGAAGAGTATTCGGGGCGACAGGAATACGTTTTCTAAGGCTTGGAACTTCGTTCGTTTGTGTTGCTGCCTCGTTCGGACAAGTTCGGTGCCCCTCTCCCTCTCTCTCTCTCTCTCTCTCTCTCTCTCTCTCTCTCTCTAGACCTTCAATTCAACTACCAGACTTCAAATGACGGTTAGGTGCAGAGGAGGCGGGAGATGACGTTGGAGCAGAGCGCAGCCAACATGAAACAGGTTCTTTTTAACCGTCAGGTCGTTCGGGCTCTGACCGTCGGAGGAACGGCGCGTCGTTTTTTGCCTAGCCGGCGGTCTCTCGACCCTCGAAGTTACGGAGCTTTTCTGTTCGACACCCTGAATTTTAGAAATCGTTGCAATTACATCCCCCCCAAATTTCAAATTTCTATGGTTGGTACCTACCTACAAGTCACCAGGCCTAATACCCTAAAAAAACCTCGAACTTTCGATCTCGTCCCAAATTCTGCTTTTTGTCTCGTAAAAAAACTCCAACTTTAAGCCATGTCCCAATTTTATCCTAAACTTTTTTGTATCATAAAAAACCCCGAACTTTAGATCCAATCTCAATTCTACCATAAAATTTTTTGTCTCATAAAAAAGTCTCAGCTTTAGGTCTAGTTTTAATTTCACTCTAATTTTTTTGGTCTCATAAAAGATCACCAACTTTTAATCGAGTCCCAAATCTACTCTCCATTAACCCTTCGTCAATATCGCCCTTAGTGATTTTTCGCTCGTCGATCTCTCGTGCTTGGGAATGTTCCATCTCTCATGGTTGGAGAGCTCGTGCTCGGGATGTTCGAACAGCTCGTACTTAGGAGTTTTCCATCTCTCGGTTGTCAAAGAGAAATTTTGGACGCAAGGTTAATTGGGGCATATTTGTGACTTAAGTAAAAGTTTGTGAAAAATTTTAGGATTAATTTGGGATCGGTCGGTAAAATTGGGACATGACCTAAAATTGAGAGTTTTTATAGGACAAAAAAAAGTTTAGAATAGAATTGGGACAAGAAGTTGATGATTTTTTATGGGACAAAAACTAGATTATAGTAGAATTGAGACTAAACCTAAAGTTGGAGATTTTTTATAAGACAAAAGGTGCATTTGGGACAAAATCTAAAGTTTGAGGTTTTTTAGAGTATTATGCCCACGAGATTTTTTTGCTCTCTACCATGTGCTAGGCACGTGATCCAAGACATCGCAAAATCACCAGATAAAGAAATAGAAAAAAGAAAAAGAAAGGAAAAGTCCTGACCAATTGATAATCATGCTTGTGGATGATTGAGATCTTTCACTAAATGATTAGCGCGTGCGCAATCCAAGTGATAGGGGGATCGAAAATTAATCATATCATGCATTCATCTCAACTTTACTAAAGTACCTTGCACTTTATAAGAAGAACTGTGTACACACGAATCGAACTCCAAATATCTTTATCTTTCTCGACATAAAGGCACTATGGCGGTGAATCGTCGCATGATTGATAGTTCGCGCTCATAGGACCACTGATTCGAGGTCACCTGGGGTCGGAAAACTCAGATTGGAGGATGAGACTGTCGATAGAGCGAGGGGAAGATTAGGTGAGAGCGGCACTAGCCGCGTCTTGAGGAAGATGAAGAAAAAGAAGGAAAAAAAGAAAAAAAGAAGATAGTCGGATGGTCGAAATTAAAAGAATTGATGTTTTGACTATTTAGAGGAGTATCTCATAGTTGGCCCGTAGATTGGAAACTTGTCACAAGTTCAATAAAAATGCAAGTAGACCAAATTGGTTAGTTAGACCTAATTATGGACACGATAGCCCGCGAGTCCACCTGAATTTGCATTTTTCCTTATGTAAATATAGAGGGATTTTTGGTCCTTTGAGTTTGTATGCTAATGGTCAAAATGGTTTTTTCATTTGGAGGGGGGACAGTATGGTCTTAATTTTTCCTAACCACTTCTGCCATAACATCTTAAATAATAATAATAAAATTGGCCCAGAAATCCTTTCTTGATTTATACAAGAATTTAAAATATTTTGGTTGTCTGTTTTTCTCAAAAAGAAAAAATAGATTACATCTTTGACACTTTATATGTTAACCAACTCAATTTCTCTTCTCTCCTTTTCTTTTTTTCAAGAGCAATGCTAGACTAGAGATGGATTTTATATATATATATGTTTCCACCGATCCACCACGGGGAAAGAATTTACAGAAAGTTGTTATTTCCCTTTCCTAACTAATAATATTCTTAATTTAATCATATATTTTCAGTTTTTCTATGATACCGTTTCTTCATTTTCTTAATCTAGCTTTCTCACCCAAAGTTAGAGTAAAATTTTTCCTCCAAGTGGAGATTCAATTTTCCTTACGATATCCACATATAATCCCTCCTTTATTATGTGCAATATTCTATCAAGTAAAGCCTTAGTTATGCCATTTAACGCAATAACCCAATTCATTGTGAACGCGAAATTATTGTAGCATCATATTTAGATCCAATCCATCATTTATAATGAAAATAATTTTCGTTTCGTTTAAAATTGCTCTTTTCGCCGCAAAATACGGACCCTCAACTAGTATATTGCGTTTGGGTGATCAGTACTTATATAACTGCGACCTACTATGACCATAAATAATAATAAAAAAATTGAAATAAAAGATAATAATTAAATATAATTGTCAACTGCTAGACTAAAAAGACTTATATTAAATATGATTTGTCCATGGTTGGACTAAAATGAATAATAATTAGTGCCTTGCATACAAGGCGCAGAAATACAACTGATGAGTTTACTATGACAAAGGGCCGTTTGGTTCGACTTCGGGGGAATGCAAATACTTTTGGGCTAAAGCGGTTTTCCGAAATGCAAGTAGTATTTGGTAAGTGTTTTTTAAAATCAACTTGGGCTAAAGGACTTTTGCTAATATTTAAAAAAAAAAAAAGAAGTTCTGATGGAGCTTAACCACCGGCCGTCGCCGCCGGCCAACCGCCGACGGCCAGATTTGGTCGCCAGCGATCGCTGCCTAGGGTCGCGCGACCCCAGCAACCGCCGCCTGGGGGTCGTGCGACCCCGGTGACCGCTGCCTGGGGTCATTGGACCTCGGGCGTCATTGGGGTTGCGCGACCCAAGCCAAGCGTTGCATGGGTCGCGCGACCCTCAGGCGACCACCTTGCCGGGGTCGCCGAGGTCGGGCTAGCCCTCAGGCGGCAATCGCCGGACTTGCCTTTGGGGAAGATGAATAGTCGCAAATGAACAGTGCAAGTTGCATTCCGAAAATGGAACTTCTCAAAGCACCTTCACTATTGCATTGGCCAAAAGTCCCTTGGAGAGCGTTCCAAATGCAATTGCATCTCCCCAAAGTGAGTAAAAAAAATTGCCAAACACCATTTACATTTGGCCAAGGGATTTTAGAGCTCAAATGAGCATTCCAAATGCTGAACCAAACGGGGCCAAAGCCCATTAAGATGTGATTTGTCCTTTAATGCCTAGAATCACAAATATTTATGCGTGACGTGACAATTCGTGAGATCTATTATATTAATACTGTTTAGAAAAAATTGAGAAAAGTTATATCGAATAATTCAATTTGTTCGCATGTGTGGGTTGTTATCCAAACTGCCAATACATTAGATCTCCCGAGCTCATCTATATAATACATGATATTTGACAGATGTTTATTGTTGAGAGATTCTGTTATGAAATATAAATAGTCAAAAAATTAAGAAAAGATTCTATAGAGTAAAATTTATTTTCTAGTAAGTTGAAAACCAACAAAGTACGAAGACAATATTCGGTAGGCTAGTCTGACTACGTAAGTGGTATGATTCTCCACTCATTAATTGCCACGTGTCTGAGTGGGGCCTACGTTTTAGATTTTGTCTCTCCCTCTCTCCTCCTCCTCCTCTCCCTCCCTCTCGCTTCTTCACCGGAGGCTCCTTCCTTGTCGTCAGTTCACTCATCGATTTTTCGTCCTCACCCAGGCCGCAAGGGTCGAGCTCTCGTTAGATCCAGTGAGGGCCGTGATGCCAATGCCCTTATCAATCCTCGCCTGTGGCCGGCCGCCGACCATGGCTGAGTACAGGCCACAGGTCGAAGGAAAGAAAGGGAAAAGGAAAAAGAAAAGAAAAGAAGAAGAAACGGTGAAGAAGACAAATAGATTGACCAATGGGGCTTACCTGGACATGTGACGAGTGCTGAATGGAGTGTCCTACCGCTTACGTGGTATGACTGGCCTACTAATGATTGATTTAAGCAAATTACATTGAAGTGTCTATTTTTCAGTGCCTGAAATCTCAAATAGTTACTGAGACGTAAAGAGACATACATAGTACGAAAAAATGAAATAAAAATGTTTATACTGAATAAAATTTATTGCTTGTGATAGGTCAAGCGAAAATGATGGTAGATCCATCGTCATGCAAGTTGTAAATAGGATAGACCCGTGTATGCACAGAATTACTTACTAAGTTAAGATCGAAAACGAAATCGAGTGGGCTTGGAAAGAGACACGGCCCACTAGGTCTGTTCAATCACAAAAAAATATCAAATGTACTTGGTCAATAGGTAGGGCCGGGCGGTCCGAATCGACGACCTGGTCCAATCCAACCCGACCGACTCGGCTCCGCTCACAACTGGTCCCGGCACCTTTCGGTTCATGTATCAGAACTAGGCCGTGGGTCTCCCTTTCGTGCTTAAAAGGGGGTTGTTGTTGCCATTTGCGGACTTTGGCCATTCTATGAAGAACGAGACGTGGAAATTCCTAGTTGTACTTCCTCGTTGTTATCTGCTTATAAAGACACCTTGTTTCTTCAACTTAATCCGATGCATTTCGTTTTCTGATATCTTCTAGAAGAGAACATGTTTGGTCGCACGTCTCACCAATAAGAGATTTGATCCTGATAACGAAGACGTGGCCGCCATTTTCATTGTAACTCGCCTGCCGCATTCCCATTCTGCCATTTGCACCGGACTTGAAAAAGAGACAGATGGGAATCCGCAGATGCGTTTGCGGCTACATATCGATGGCAATCAATGCCAGCATCATCGCTCTCCTATCTCTGGTGTTCTTGTCGGTGCACGGTTGCGTTGCCGCACAGCACGACACCGGGCCGTCCCCCAACCCCACGGTGAGTAGCCACAGCTTCAGCCCCGCCGCGGCACTCGTCGTCGTCTTTTTGGTGCTCCTCTTTTTCGCCGTTGGCTTCTCCTCCATCTACATCCACCGGTGCTCCGACTCGCCACTGCCCCTGCCCATTGCGTCCGTATCCACTCCAGCTCCCCGCTTCTTCTCGGTCTACATCGGGGCAGCCCTTTTCGTCCACTCTCGGCGTCCCGGCCTCGACCCACAAGTGATGGACGTGCTCCCAACGTTTGCCTACGGAGAAGCGAACGGAAGGGAGGATTGGATCGGAGGAGTGGAGGAATGTGCGGTTTGTTTGAGCGAGTTCGAGGAGTCGGACACGCTCCGCCTGTTGCCGCAGTGCGGTCACGCTTTCCACATCCCGTGCATCGACAAGTGGTTGGTGAAACACTTCGCTTGCCCCGTTTGCCGGAGCACCGTCGCGGTTGAGTGACACGTGCGAAATAATCTGACAAGCTTCAGTTTCATGGATCTCGCGCCTCTTCAAAACACTCATGAGTTTCAGAAAACCTAGCTATTCATGTATTTTGCGTCGAACAAGATCCGAACAACCACCACCACCACCACGTCCACCTTCATTGACCTCAAAAATGCCCCAAATCCTCAAACACTAAACCCTAATTTCACTAGCCACTGCCAACCACCAACACCTCGACAATGGCCAGATCTTCCCTCGCGGTGGTGCCTCACCAGCCCGACCCCTTGTCCCTCCCCCTCGTCGTCACCCTCGACTGCATCGAAGATTGCTCCCTCAAAAGCAATCCTCCCTCGACGGCGTCGCCTCCGTCAAGCACGTTCCCCTCAACCGCCCCTCCTCTTCTGACCGCACCATCGACTCCGCCTCCGCCTCCGCCATACTCCACTCCCTCGCCTTCCTCCCTCGCTGCCAAGCTGGGGCTCCGCCTCGTCCACATGGACACATCTTGAGCTGAGGATATCACGCCGAAGAGAAGCACAAGGCGACAAGGAGGAGAGGAGCTCTAGAGGCGGAGAGAGATGAGCAAGAAGGCGGAGAAGAGGAGGAAGGATGCAACGAGCTTTGTCTCGAAAAGTGCGGAAAATAGTTTCCTTGTTTTCCTTGATCTATTCATTTTCCTTGGGCCAAACAGTAAAAAAATTCGGAAACTGCGTAATAAACGAAGTCTTAAGGTCAAATTATGTCATCAGAGCGAGATACCAATTGACGTGTATACAAAATCGTATTTAATTACAGTGATTGTAATAGCAAATACAGAAAAGAAATTATTGCTAGATATAATATCGCCCACTTAGTCGTTTAGATAATCATGGTTGGTTCGTATGGATGCATCTTGGAAAGGTCAAGGTCAATAGAGACAGGGACATCACAGCAAGTAGCCGCATCTTCTCCGTGATTGGCTAAATGTTAATTTGATTAGAAAGAAAACTGTCAAGTTGCCCCATTAATTGAACGAGGAAATTTCAATTTGCTAATAGAGCCAAAATTCTGCTAATCAAATTGATGAAAACTGCTTTTACCGATGTGAAATACACACGGCACCTTGTCGTGAAATTATACTCTCTCGATGTGATTTCCTTACCGAGAGAGCATATTTCGAAGAAATTTTACACCATCTAATCGATAGACTGTTAAATTTCAATCCGTTCAAAAGCATAGAACACGTGTAGATAGGTTCAAATCGCTTATAATCTTGACCTCGTTCATCCTTTAACATATTTTGTTACGCATTGTTCAGACGTCTTTCTCCTCTCTTCTTCACTTTAGTTATTTAGGACTCGAACAGGGTTTGGGACCAGTTCCGAACCTGCGAGAACATCATTTAAAAAAAAAAAAATAGGGCACGGATATATGATATGGTCACTTGCCATTATTAAGGGGCAAATTGACTTTCTCTATATTGGCTAATTTAATGATTTTATTTTTCTTCCTTTTTTTTTTTGTTCTCAATTTGGCTTTTGTTGGAAAGGAAAGAAAAGGTCAAAAAGGACAAGACCACGTGCTCTCCCATTAAAGCCCACTTCTCTTGGGTTCTCCATTTTTCTAGGCAAAAGTGGCCACCCCACTTCTTCGTAGAGTGACGAAACGTTGCTTGTCCCCTTCAACCAAAGCAAAGCACGCCCTCATCTCCAACTCCCATAACCACAACATCAGATTCCCTCCGCCGCCGTCGCCGCCGCCGCCGCCGCCATCTTGTTCTTCGGTTGATGGGTCGACGGGCGACGAAGCTCAAGGACCTCTTGGGCATGGTGAAGGACAAGGCCTCCCAGGGCAAAGCGGCCCTCCTCCACCCCTCCGGGCCGGGCGGCGGCTCCCCGCTCTCCTTCCACCTCCCACTCCTCCGCGCCACCACCCACGACCCCCTCGCCCCTCCCAAGCCCAAGCACCTCGACCTCCTCCTCTCCGCCGGCCACTCCTCCCGCGCCACCGCCTCCCTCCTCGTGCTCGCCCTCATGGACCGCCTCCAGTCCACCCGGGACGCCTCCGTCGCTGCCAAGTGCCTCATCGCCGTCCACCAAATCGTCCACCGCGGCTCCTTCATCCTCCAGGACCAGCTCTCCGTGTACCCCGCTACAGGTACGAAGGCCGTGTCTTCGCTTGTCGAATTCCAAATCACGAAAAAGAGTTTGTCAGCATGTATCTATTTGGACAAACGTGTCAAATCGCGTCAGAAAATTGACTGCCCTCGGCTGCTGCAGGAGGGAGAAACTATCTGAACCTGTCCATGTTCAGGGACGAGACGACGCCGCTGACGTGGGAGCTATCTTCATGGGTCCGGTGGTACGCCCGTTACCTCGAGAACCTCCTCTCGACGTCGAGGGTCTTGGGTTATTTCCTCTGCTCCGTCTCGAGCGCGCTGGAGAAGGAGAGAGCAGAGGAGAACGTCTCGACTTTCCCCAACTCCGACTTGCTCAAGGAGCTCGACTCTCTCGTCGGTCTCATCGAGGAGACGTGCAAGATCCCCGATTCTCTGTGCCGAGTAAGCACTGTCTCCAACTTCATCTCATGAAACTATAATCTGATTCTTGATTCATCACATCCCCCCGTGCAACGGATCTGGAAAGTGTTCTTTTCTTCTTCTCTACAGGACAACGAGTTGATACGGGCGGTGACGGGTTTCGTTTCGGAGGACTATCTGTCTGCGATGGAGGCGATCTTGATCCGGGTCCGCGAGTTCGGACACAGGCTGAGTTGCCTGAGCTTCGGCGACTCGGTCGAGCTGGTGTGCGCCCTGAGGAGGCTCGGGCGGTTCGAGGAGAAGGTGTCGGCGCTGTTCAGCCACAAGATGGTGGCGTTCGAGGGTTTCTGGATCTCGGTGGCCGAGATGAGAGCGAGGCTGGAGTCGTCGAGGAGGGAGGTAGGGCCCGTGTCGCCGGCGTCGGAGAAGAAGAGGGTCGGAGCGAGCGAGTCGGCCCGGTTCGGAGGGCGCGTTCCGATGAGTTCGAGCCACGACTCGCTCAAGTTCTCGTCGGGGAGATTAGTAGGTTTGACCAGGTATCATTTGCCCTTCCAAGAGTCGGTCGAGTTGTTTGCTTGATGGCATCAAGGTTTTCCTTTCTTTTCTTTTTCCTTGACTTGGTTAATGAAGCTTAGTCCACATACATATGCGTGCATATACGTCGTATAATTTGTACGAAGGGAAATTGATTTAATTTGGACCGGTGTATATATATAATGGATTGTGTACTCTATACCATGTACTATTCATGCTTTGGCTTTACCACCTAACGAAAGGACACTATCAATTAAAGTTGGTATTTGAGAAAATAAATTAAATGTACATCGATGATGTTGAATATAATGCATGGAAAAATCGAATCAATACGGCATTAAGATACTCCACCACCATCATGGTTGTTCTGCCGAATCTAAGATATCTCCTTTTTGGAAGTCGAAAGAGCCTTGTCGTTGCATTTTGTTTTTTGTGATATATTTCGATTTAAATGCTTATCATACTAAAACGCGATAGCTTGACCCTGTACTGGTCAATGGGTTCGGTTTTGAGAGCAAGTACGAGAATGAGTTTTACCTAAACCTTCAGACCTAAATTGACCCAAGTTAAGATCTGTACCAACAAGGTTTTCCGATAGGTAGGTGGCCGCAATTATTTTTCGGCAAATCGTACTAGTTTCTGCAATCTCTCTATGGGTCAGAACATGGTCACATGAGGGTCGCAATCGTCGGGTTGTCACCGGATTAAATTGTCCATAGATTGAGAGGACGTGCATCCAGAATTCCCTTAGTCAGTGAGACCTGGCATGTTCTTTATCTATTAAATGTCGTGGTCCCGCCAACATTAATTTACATGCAAAAGTAGATAAGCGTGTTAACCTTTGATTAATTAGTGTCCCCAATGCAAAAAATAAGTGGAAAATTTGGATTAATGCGGTTTTTTTTCTCTGTACGGGCTAAGTCCCGGTGATCCGACTGTGCCGAGGCCGATTAGGTCCCAAACACCATGGTCACGAATCTTCGGGTGCAGCAGTTAAGATCACTGAAAATGGAAATTACTCGTGTGAAGGGACAATTATCCAAAAAGTTCTAAACTTATTGCGCTTTTACCAATTCAGTCATAAACTTTTTAATTTTGACAATTGAGTCCTAAACATTTTCAAGTTTTGCCAATTAACTCTTTAAATTAGACGGAAACCGCTGATGTGAACGTCATCCGTCCTATGTAAAACGGCCGGCGCTGATGTGGATAATTTTTAATAATATTTTAATTTTTTTATTAATTTTTTTTTATTTCTTTTCTTTTCTTTTTCTTTTTTGGTTCAAAGGGCCGGCAGGGCTACCAGCTACTGGCCGAGGGCTAGCGACCCCCACTGGCTCCTAAGTGATCGCTATGAAGCCCTCGTTGGCCGGGGGCCAGGGCTGTGATGCCCTCACTGTGGCCCACGAGGGGTCGCGGCCCCTCGCCAGATCTGGTGACGGCGTCTGCCCTCACTATGGCCGGTAGGGTCACTGGCCCTTGACTAGTAGCCGGCGGCCCGCCGACCCTTTGAACCAAAAAATAAAACAAAAGAAAAGAAAGAAAAGAAAAGGAAAAATAAAAAATCAATCAATAATAAAAAAAATTCGAAAAAAATATTAAAAATTTATTAAAACTTATCTACATTAGCAATTTTCGACAAAAATTGGCTAGATGGACTCAATTATAAAAGTGTGAAAAGGTTAAGGACTCAGTTGGCAAAATTAAAAGTTTTATAACTAAATTGGCAAAAGTGCAATGGGTTTATGAATTTTTCCCCTCATATGGGCACACTTTGCCAATTCGTTAAAAATCAGATGAATGACTCGAACTTTGAATTGTTTGCACTTGGGGTTGCCATAGAACAAGCTTGAATTATGCACCTAATTCACACGCAAAGCTGTTACTTAACCACTAAATCAACCCGATGGAATTGAAAATTCAATCGAAACCAGTAAAGGAGATGTCGTGGTAGCATATGCAA